AATCTTGTTTTTGTTTTTTTTAGATAGATTATATATAGATAGATATATAGATATACAGTATAGATTAGTATTATATTTTTATTTTAAATGTATATTACATAAATGTTTTATTGTTAATATTTTATTATATTCTTATTGTCGATTTATTATTATATTAATATTTTATTATATTATTATTGTTGTTTAACATCTACATGAAGCCGCTGGGAGAGATCATCTGGAATTTCAGGGTATGGTGTCATCTGTACGCAGATGATGTCCAACTCTGTCACTCCTTTCCATCTGCTACTAAGGAGGCTGTCGAGGTCCTGAACCGGTGCCTGGCCGCTGTAACGGTCTAGATGAGGGTGAACAAATTGAAATTGAATCCAGACAAGACAGAGGTACTCCTGGTCAGTCGCAAGGCCGAACAGGGCATAGGGTTACAGCCAGGCCTGTAGCGAGGGGGGGGGGGGTTAGGGGTTCAACCCCCCCCCCCCGAAATGTTTTAGATTTTTTTTAAAAAACCTGGTTTACTCATGAATTTTAACTGGTTAACCTAATCCCCATGCTAAGTCTATGAGATGCAAAAAATTAAGAGTCCCTCCAGAACTGCCAGTACTATCTCAGGCAAATATTGACAATTTATTCACACTGTCATTACTTGCAGCAATAGCTGATGTAGTGAAGCAACCAAGTTGGGGGTGGGGGGGATGTTGAATGCTCTCATTAAAGGTAATGGTACTAACCTTTAAGACCTTGCGTGGTCTGGGGCCGATGTACCTGAGGGACCGTCTCACCCCCTACCAACCCCAGAGATCCCTCCATTCTGAGGACCAAGATTTGTTGGAAATTCCCAATGTCAAGACCTTGCATCTAACAGCAACCAGACGCAGAGGCTTTACAGCAGTGGCACCATCACTCTGGAATACTCTGCCACCTGAAGTCTGTGCCTTGTGGGACTTATCAGCTTTCTGCAGGGCATGTAAGACATATCTGGTTCGACAGGGCTTTGATCTTTGATATTGCTGTTTTTAAATTGTTTTAAATTGTTTTCAAATTGTGTTAGATTTTAGCCTGTTCTTGTAAGCCACTCCGAGCCCCAGGGGAGTGGCGGCATATAAGTTTGAATAATAAATAAATAAATTAAGGAGGCCAGACTTGGTGGAGGTGGTTGACAGGGGTGGAGCTGCAGGCTATTGAAGGCTGCTCTGCCCCCTGCTGTGCTCTTTGCTTCAGCGTGAGCTAGGAGGCAGGTTTCAAACCCCCCCCCCCCCCGGTGAAAATTTTAACAACCCCCCCGGCGAAAATTTTAACCCCTCCTGAATTTTTTTTCTGGCTACAGCCCTGGTTACAGCCTGTGTTGGACGGGGTTGCACTCCCCCTGAAGACGCAGGTTTGCAGCTTGGGTGTGATCCTGGACTCATCGCTGAGCCTGGAACCCCAGGTTTCGGCGGTGACCAGGGGAGCATTCGCACAGTTAAAACTTGTGCGCCAGCTGGGCCCGTACCTTGGGAAGTCTGACCAGGCCACGGTAGTCAACACTCTGGTTACATCCCGTATAGACTACTGCAACGCTCTCTACGTGGGGTTGCCTTTGAAGACGGCTCGGAAGCTTCAACTAGTCCAACGCTCGGCAGCCATTATTCTAACAGGAGCGGAACGCAGGGAGCATACAACCCCCCTGTTGCGCCAACTCCACTGGCTACTGATCTGCTACCGGGCTCAATTCAAAGTGCTGGCATTGGCCTTTAAAACCCTAAATGGTTCTGGCCCAAGCTACCTATCCAACCGCATCTCTGCCTATGAACTCACCAGGACTTTGAGATCTTCCAGGGAGGCCCTGCTCTCGATCCCGCCTGCCTCACAGGCACGGCTGACGGGGATGAGAGATAGGGCCTTCTCGGTGGTGGCCCCTCGGCTGTGGAACGCCCTTCCCACGGACATTAGACTAGCTCCATCATTAATGGTATTCCGCAAAAAAGTGAAAACCTGGTTGTTTGAGCAGGCGTTTGAATAGTCAGTGCAATGAGTGTAATGAACATAGGAATGGAACAATGGATGACGGATCTGGATCATGTTTTCAGTGACGAGACGCTAGTGAATGGTTATTGTTGCTAATTGTATATTATTGTATAATGTGTTATGATGTCAACTGTTTTTTATACCATGTTATTGTAGCATTGAATTTTTGCTGTTCTTGTTGTTAACCGCTGTGAGTCGCCTAAGGGCTGAGAACAAATAAAATAAATAAAATAAATAAATACATAAATAAATAATTTAATTGTGTATATTATGATGATGTCCAACTCTGTCACTCCTTTCCACCTGCTACTAAGGAGGCTGTCCAGGTCCTGAACTGGTGTCTGGCCGCTGTGATGGTCTGGATGAGGGCGAACAAATTGAAACTGAATCCAGACAAGACAGAGCTACTCCTGGTCAGTCGCAAGGCCAAACAGGGTATAGGGTTACAACCTGTGTTGGACGGGGTCGCACTCCCCCTGAAGACGCAGGTTCGCAGCTTGGGTGTGATCCTGGATTCACCACTGAGCCTGGAATCCCAGGTTTCAGCGGTGACCAGGGGAGCATTTGCATAGCTAAAGCTTGTGCGCCAGCTGCGCCCGTACCTTGGGAAGTCTGACTTGGCCACGCTAGTCCACGCTCTGGTTACATCCCGTTTAGACTACTGCAACGCTCTCTATGTGGGGTTGCCATTGAAGACGGCTCGGAAGCTTCAATTGGTCCAGCGTGTGGCAGCCATGATACTAACAGGGGCGGCACACAGGGAGCATACAACCCCTCTGTTGCGCCAGCTCCATTGGCTACCAATTTGCTACCGGGCCCAATTCAAAGTGCTGGTGTAGGGGCAAAAACGATCAAGAAAATCCACAAATCCAAAATCCAAGAGCAGGAGGGCAAGGAAGGACACCACGAAAGTTGAATCTTTAAAACTGCAAAATGCTATTTATTGCGCAGCTGAAGCAATAGTGACAAACATGCATATGGAAATGCAATAAAGGGGTTTGTCCAACCTAAAGTTGGTTGCATTGATTATTTATGACTTTCATTAAAACAGTTTGATTGGTACATAGAAATCAATCATCTCATTGGTTCCCAAAGACAAATCATTTCATTGGTCTAAGTTAGCTATGCAGTTGTTCATTAGTTGTTTATGATTTTGATTGACATTATAGCACACGTGGCTTTGGCCTTTAAAGCCCTAAACGGTTCCGGCCCAAGCGACCTATCCAACTGCATCTCTGCCTATGAACCCATCAGGACTTTGAGATCTTCCGGGGAGGCCCTGCTCTCGATCCCGCCTGCCTCACAGGCGCGGCTGGCAGGGACGAGAGACAGGGCCTTCTTGGTGGTGGCCCCTCGGCTGTGGAACGCCCTTCCCACGGACATCAGATTGGCCCCCTCATTGATGGTATTCCGGAGGAAAGTGAAAACCTGGTTATTTGAACAGGCGTTTGAATAAGCAGTGCAATGAATTTCAGGAAATGGAACTACGACTGACGAGTTTGGATCATGATTCTAGTTATGAGACGCCACTGAATGTTTATTACTGTTAAATTGTTTAATTTGTTTCTGTGTTAACTGTTTTTAAGTACCTTGTTGATGTCGCATTGAATTTTTGCCTTGATTGTTCGCCTTGTTTTTGCTTGTTGTAAACCGCTATGAGTCGCCTTAGGGCTGAGAATGGCGGTATACAAATGAAGTAAATAAATAATAAATAAATTATATTGTCGAAGGCTTTCATGGCTGGAATCACTAGGTTCTTGTGGGTTTTTTCGGGCTATAGAGCCATGTTCTAGAGGCATTTCTCCTGACGTTTCGCCTGCATCTATGGCAAGCATCCTCAGAGGTAGTGAGGTCTGTTGGAATTAGGACAATGGGTTTATATATCTGTGGAATGGCTGGGGTGGGGACAAAGAGCTCTTCCCTGCTGGAGCCAGGTGTGAATGTTTCAACTGACCACCTTCATTAGCATTTGAAGGCCTGGCTGAGCCTGGGAAAATCTTTTGCTGAGAGGTGTTAAGATGTGCCTGGTTGTTTCCTCTCTGCTGCTTTGCTGTTGTAATTTTAGAGTTTTTTAATACTGGTAGCCAGATTTTGTTCATTTTCATGGTCTCTTCCTTTCTGTTGAAATTGTCCACATGCTTGTGGATTTCAATGGCTTCTCTGTGTAGTCTGACATGGTGGTTGTAGGTGTGGTCCAGCATTTCTGTGTTCTCAAATAATATGCTATGAGAACCAGCCTGGACACAGCATATTATTTGAGAACACAGAAATGCTGGACCACTCTCACACCCACCATGTCAGACTACACAGAGAAGCCATTGAAATCCACAAGCATGTGGACAATTTCAACAGAAAGGAGGAGACCATGAAAATGAACAAAATCTGGCTACCAGTATTAAAAAACTCTAAAATTACAACAGCAAAACAACAGAGAGGAAACAACCAGGCACAGATTAACACCTCCCAGCAAGAGATTTTCCCAGGCTCAGGCAAGCCTTCAAATGCTAATGAAGGTGATCAGCTGAAACATTCACACCTAGCTGCAGGGAAGAGCTCTTTGCCCCACCCCAGCCATTCCACAGATATATAAACCCATTGTCCTAATTCCAACAGCCCTCACTACCTCTGAGGATGCTTGCCATAGATGCAGGCGAAACGTCAGGAGAAATGCCTCTAGAACATGGCCTATAGCCCGAAAAAACCCACAAGAACCTAAATAAATTATATTTAAAAATTATTATATTATATCCATATTTTATTATATTCTTATTTTCAATTTTATATATATATATATATATATATATATATATATATATATATATATATTGTTTTCAATTTGTGTATTTTATAGTATACTATTATTATTGTTGTCATTATTATTCTTATTATGAGCTTCATCCCATGAGTCTGGAAAAGAGCTTTTCGGGCCGCCGTAACCATCGAGACGAAAAACCAGAACGTCAGAGATGAGAAAATGAGGGCGGTAACCACGAAACGTCGCTCCATCGGCCATCTTTGTTCCCTCATTCAATCCGCTTGCGCCTGCATGGCGTCACTTCCGGGGCGGGCTTCACCATTGTCAACACTGCGCAGTCGCAGTCGCTTGAAGGCCAAACAGGAAGTGGCGCTCATTTCAGCGAGGAGAAGGCTGCGAAGAAGAAGCAGGCCTTTGTTTCCCTTTCACGAAAGAAGGAAGGTAAGAAATATATATATATAATATTATTATTGCCATATTTATGACTATCACATATTAATATATTTTATATTAATAAACTATTATAAAAGGGTTGCCATGGAAACCGTTACGGGGCTTGTTACCAAGGCAATCTGTTCTGCCTGGAAACAGTGGGTTAAACAGTATTTATTATTATTATATTTATTCTATTGTATATAATATTATTATGCAATTATCTATCTATCTTCTATCTATCTACTTATCTATCTATCTACTTATCTATCTATCTACTTATCTATCTATCTACCTATCTATCTATCTTCTATCATCTATCTATCTATCTATATCTATCTATATCTATCTATCTTCTATCTATCTATCTTCTATCTATCTTCTATCTATCTTCTATCTTCTATCTATCTATCTATCTATCTATCTATCTATCTATATCTATCTATATCTATCTATCTTCTATCTATATCTATCTATCTTCTATCTATCTATCTATCTTCTATCTATCTATCTTCTATCTATCTATCTTCTATCTATCTATCTTCTATCTATCTATCTTCTTCTATCTTCTATCTATCTATCTATCTATCTATCTATCTATCTACCTTCTATCTATCTATCTTCTATCTATCTATCTTCTATCTATCTATCTATCTATCTATCTTCTATCTAGTTATATCTATCTATCTTCTATCTATCTACCTTCTATCTATCTATCTTCTATCTTTCTATCTATCTTCTATCTATCTATCTGCTATCAATCTATATTTGTCTACCTTCTATCTATCTATCTATCTATCTATCTATCTATCTATCTATCTATAAATGCTCTGTGCATAATGAGTACCTTAAAAACAAAAGAACCAATGAACGAAATCACACCAAATTTGGCAACAAAACGTCTCACAACACAAGGAGTGATCATCACTCAAAAAATTATGATTTTGCCATTTGGGAATTGTAGTTGCTGGGATTTATAGTTCACCTAAAATCAAAAAGCATTCTGAACTCCACCAATGATGGAATTGAACCAAACTTGGCACACAGGACTCCGATGACCAGCAGAAAACACTATAAGGGTTTGGTGGGCATTGACCTTGGGTTTTGGATTTGTAAGGACCGGAGCCATCTGTCGTGGCTCCGGTCCTTCCTGGAGGGACGAACCCAGATGGTGAAGCTGGGAGACGCCTGCTCTGGCCCCTGGCCTTTGACCTGTGGGGTCCCGCAAGGCTCTATTCTGTCGCCCATGCTTTTTAACATCTACATGAAACCGCTGGGAGAGGTCATCCGGAGTTTTGGAGTTGGGTGCCATCTTTATGCAGATGACACACAACTCTACTACTCTTTTCCACCTAATTCCAGGGAGGCTTCTCGGGTGCTGGACGAGTGCCTGGCCGCTGTGTCGATCTGGATGAGGAAGAACAAGCTGAAGATCAATCCCGACAAGACAGAGGTCCTCCTGGTTGATCGTAAACCGGATCGGGGTATAGGGTGGTTACCTGTGTTGGACGGGGTTACACTCCCCCTGAAGCCACAGGTCCGCAGTTTGGGTGTCCTCTTGGATTCTTCGCTCACACTTGAGGCTCAGGTGTTGCGGTATCCGGGAGGGCCTTTGCACAATTGAGACTTGTGCGCCAACTGCGACCATACCTCGTGAAGGCTGATCTGGCCGGGGTGGTCCACGCCTTGGTCACCTCTAGAATGGACTACTGCAATGCGCTCTACGTGGGGCTGCCCTTGAAGACGGCCCGGAAACTTCAATTGGTCCAGCGGGCAGCAGCTAGGATGCTAACTGGGGCTCATTATCAAGAGAGGTCTACCCCTCTGTTTAAGGAGCTCCACTGGCTGCCATTTATTTTCCGGGCCCAATTCAAGGTGCAGGTGCTCACCTACAAAGCCCTAAACGGTTTGGGACCACCCTACCTGCGTGACCGCATTTCAATCTACGAACCCACACGCTCGCTCCGATCATCTGGGGAGGCCCTGCTCGTGATCCCGCCCACGTCGCAAGCGCGCTTGGTGGGGACACGGGACAGGGCTTTCTCTGTGGCGGCCCCCCGACTCTGGAATGCCCTCCCAAAAGATCTCCGACAGGCCCCTACCTTAGCAGTTTTCAGAAGGAATTTAAAAACCTGGCTGTTCCGTTGTGCCTTCTCAGATTAGGAATCCCCAGCCCAAGTCCTAGTAGCACTTTAGCACAATTAATGATGCTGCACACCGTACTTGTAATCCACGTTCCTCCTACCATTTCAGCACTTTTAATCCCTGTACCCCATTGCGCCGGCCGAACCAGTTTTTAATAATGTCTTGATGTATTGTCGTTGCTTTGCTTAACTGTTTTGATTTGCTTTGTTATTGTTATGTTATGTTTCTCTTGTATTGTGTTTTGAGGCTTCGGCCTGTGTGAGCCGCATCGAGTCCCTCGGGAGATGCTAGCAGGGTACAAATAAAGTTAATAATAATAATATAATAATAGTTCACCTACATCTAGAGAGCACTGTGGGTTCAAACAATGATGGATCTGGGCCAAACTTGGCACAAATCTTCAATATGCCCAAATATAAACACAGATGGAGTTTGGGGGAAATAGACCTTGACGTTTGGGAGTTGTAGTTACTGGGATTTATAGTTCACCTACAATCAAGGAGCATTCCAAACCTCACCAACGATGGAATTGGGCCAAACATCCCACACAAAACCCCCATGACCAACAGGAAACACTGTGTTTCCTGGTGGTCTTTGGTGACCCTTCTGACACCCCCATGGTGACTCCCCACCCCCCCCAGGAGTCTTGACTTCCCAGGTTGAGAAATGCTGCCTTAAGGCCATCCAGTCCAGCTCCTTTCACCAGGGCAACAAAACAAAGCCCTCCTGACAAAGGGCCATCCAGCCATTCACACACACACACATATATGTATATGACAGATGCAGTATCAAAGATTTCAAAGGCACCCCTAAAGAAGGACAATAATATGTTGCATGTTCCAGAGTAGGCAAACCAGACACTCTCCACATCACTGGCAAAGAAACAACAAGAAATACTGTTTACCCTCAAGCATTAAGACATTACATATATTAGAAACCAACACATTCTCATTACTTCGTTTCCAGATCAACACTGGGCCACAGCAACGCGTGGCAGGGGACAGGTAGTATATATATATAAATGCTCTGTGCATAATGAGTACCTTAAAAACAAAAGAACCAATGAACGAAATCACACCAAATTTGGCAACAAAACGTCTCACAGCACAAGGAGTGACCATCACTCAAAAATTATGATTTGTCATTTGGGAGTTGTAGTTGCTGGGATTTATAGTTCACCTACAATCAAAGGGCATTCTGAACTCCACCAATGATGGAATTGAACCAAACTTGGCACACAGAACTCCCATGACCAACAGAAAATACTGAAAGGGTTTAGAGGGCATTGACCTTGAGTTTGGGAGTTGTAGTTCACCTACATCCTGAGAGCACTGTGGACTCAAACAATGATGGATCTGGTCCAAACTTGGCACAAGCACTCAATACACCCAAATATGAACACAGATGGAGTTTGGGGAAAATAGACCTTGACATTTGGGAGTTGTAGTCACTGGGATTTATAGTTCACCTACAATCAAAGAGCATTCTGAACCCCACAAACAACAGAATCGGGGCAAGCTTCCCACACAGAACCCCCATGACCAACAGAAAATACTTAAGGCCATCCAATCCAACTCCCTTCATCAAAGTCCTCCTGACAAAGAGCCATCCAGTCATAGATAGATAGATATATAGATAGATAGATAGATAGATAGATAGATAGAGATAGATAGATAGATAGATAGATAGATAGATATGATTCACACACGCACACAGATACAGTATCATAGATTTGAAAGGGATCCCTAAAGAAGGACAATTATACGTAGCATGTTCCAGAGTAGGCAGACCAGACAATCTCCACATCAACACTGACAAAGAAACAACAAGGAATACTGTTTACCCACAAGCATAAAGGAATTACAAATATTAGAAACCATTACTTTATTTTCCAGATCACCAGACTGGGCCACAGCAACACGTGGCAGGGGACGGCTTGTAATTTATAATAACAATAGAATAATATATGTAATATTATACCTTTATATAATTTACAATTATAATATTATAAATATAACAATATTATTATATGATATATAATATATTATTATAGTATATATGGGTTGCTGTGAGTTTTCCGGGCTGTCTGGCCATGTTCCAGAAGCATTCTCTCCTGACATTTCACCTGCATCAGAGGTTGTGAGGTCTGTTGGAAATGAGGCAAATGGGATTTACATATCTGTGGAATGTCCAGGATGGGCTTGGTCACCTTGATTACCATTCAGTGGCCTAGCGGTTTCAAGGTCTGGCTTCTTACTGCCTGGGGAACTCCTTTGTTGAGAGGTGATTAGCTGTCCCTGATTGATTCTTGTCTGGAATCCCCCCGTTTTCTGAGTATTGTTCTTTCTTTGCTGTCCTGATTTTAGAGTTTTTTACATACTGGTGGCCAGATCGTGTTCATTTTCATGGTTTCCTCCTTTCTGTTGATATTGTCCATGTGCTTCTTGTGGATTTCAAATGGCTTCTCTGTGTAGTCTGACCTGGTCTTTGTTAGAGTGGTCATTTACAACGTAGCTTCTGTCATGAGAGCCAAGCAGTCTTTTCCCATTATATAGTATGCCTGGAAAAAGGCTGCATAGAAATAAAGCTAACAAAAAAGGAGGAGGGAAGAGGAAGAAAGATTTGTGAAAACGTGTGTCAACGACAGGGTAATGTTTGGAAAGCTGTTCTCTTTTCTTCTTTTCCTGCTTTATTTTAAATTATTTTTAAAAATAAATTATTTTAAACTAGCTTGGGTACCCAGCAGTGCCTGGGTTATTTGAGAAAGGTCTTATTTAGCATTTAGTTAATTAGTAACATTTTATTAAGAAAAAGTCAGAATGTGATTTTTTAAATAAATGCTCCCATTAGAAAATACATAATGATGTGGGTGAATTGTGGGTCAATCCTCCCCAAACCAGGCCTGTATGCACAGCTGACCATGTTGGGTCTGTGTGCCAAGATCTGCCATTGGCTGGGTTCAGTGCCCTCTGTTTAAGGGTGAACTACAACTCCCATATGCCAGGGAACATCATCCCCAAAGCATGCCAGCATTTACAGTTGGCCATGTTGGGTCTGTGTGTCAAGTCTGGTCCAGATCCAACATTGACTGTGTTCAGTGCCCGCTAGATGCAGGTGGGTTCCAACTCCCATAATCATGGCCAACTCCCATAAACCCTGCAGTATGTTCAGTTGGTCATGGGGCTTCTCTGTGCCAAGTTTGATCCCTGTCAATTGTTGGTGGGGATCATAGTTTCTGTGAATGCAGAAACGATGAATTCCCAGATTCCCATGGCAATCACCCCCAAACTCCGCCTGTATTTACAGTTGGGCATGTTGGGTCTGTGTGCCAAGTTTGGTCCAGATCTGTTATTGAGGGGGTTCAGAGTGCTCTGGATGCAGGGCGAACTACAATTAGTCCCCCCACAAACACCTCCAGTATGTTCTGTTGGTCACCAGAGTTCTGTGTTCAAAGTGTGGTCCAGATTCATCATTGATGCGGTTCAGAGTGCTCTGTATTCAGGGTGAACTATACTTCCTGTACAGGTGGGTCAGTTCCCCAAACCCCTCTAGTATGTTCTGTTGGTCATGGGAGTTTTGTTTCCCAAATTTGGTCTAGGCCCATCATTTATGGGGGTCACAGTTGTCTGTGAAAGTGGGTAAAGATACTGCAAATCCCATCATCTGTGGTCCATCCTCCCGAAACCCTCACCAAGACAGAAAGTACGTCATAGGGAGTCAGTGTGTCAAATTTGGTCCAGGTGCATCATTTATTTGGGTCGCAGTAGTTTCTAGAAGTGGGTGAAGATACTGCAATTCCCATCGTCCCTGGTGCATCCTCTTTTTAAAACTCACCAGGATGTAAAGTACGCCATGAGGAGTCTGTGTGGCAAATTTTGTCCAGTTCCGTCATTCTTGGGGGCTGCAGTAATCTCTCAATGTGGATGAAGGCAGTGCAAATCCCATCATTTGTGGTCCATCCTTCCGCAAACTGCACCAAGGTGTAAAGTGGGTCTTGGGGGGTCTGTGTGGCCTGTTTGGTCCAGGTCCGTCATTTGTGGGGGTCGCAGAGGTCTCAGGAAGTGAGTGAAGGTCCTGAAAATTCCATCATCCGTTGCAAGTGTTTTCAAGATCCATCGTTGGTTGGGTTCACAGTGCTCTCTGGTTGTAGGTGGACTACAACTCCTATCTATATATATAAAAATGCTCTGTGCATAATGAGTACCTTAAAAGGAAAAGAACCAATGAACGAAATCACACCAAATTTGGCAACAAAATGTCTCACAACACAAGGAGTGATCATCACTCAAAAAATTATGATTTTGTCATTTGGGAGTTGTATTTGTAGGGATTTATAGTTCACCTATAATCAAAGAGCATTCTGAACTCCAACAACGATGGAATTGCACCAAACTTGGCACACAGGACTCCCGTGACCAACAGAAAACACTAGAAGAGTTTGGTAGGCATTGACCTTGAGTTTGGGAGTTGTAGTTCACCTACATCTAGAGAGCACTGTGGACTCAAACAATGATGGATCTGGACCAAACTTGGCACGAATACTCAATATGCCTAAATATGCACACAGATGGCGTTTGGGGAAAATAGACCTTGACATTTGCGAGTTGTAGTTGCTGGGATTTATAGTTCACCTACAATCAGAGCATTCTGAACCCCACCAACGACAGAATTGGAGCAAACTTCCCACACAGAACTCCCATGACCATCAGAAAATACTTAAGGCCATCCAGTCCAACTCCCTTTACCAGGCAAGAAAACGTAGTCAAAGCCCTCCTGACAAAGAGCCATTCAGCCATAGATATAGAACCCACTGTGCCCTGAAATGTCCTTGGAGGGAGTGCCTTTGGAAGCTTCACAGCACTTGGAACTATAGCTTGTTTGTGGAGGCGGGAGGCTGTGTAAATGGACACCTCCACCACATGCACACATGTGTATATTATTTATTTATTTATTTACAGCTTTTATATTCCGCCCTTCTCACCCCGCAGGGGGCTCAGGGCGGATTACAGTGTACACATATATGGCAAACATTCAATGCCAATTTTGACATACAAACATATACAGACATACACAGAGGCTGTTTAACTTTTTCTGGCCGCCAGGGGAGCTGTCGCTTTCATCGTCCATCTGCGACACTGATGAAGCTCTTCCACATTCCCCGCATGCTTCCCCGCTGGAATGCTTTGCTGGAGTCTTCTTTATGGCCTCATAAATCAGTTAATTTAGCCTCCTCACACTTTAAGGTGGTACCTTATTTTCCTACTTGACAGATGCAACTGTCTTTCGGGTTGCAAAGGTCGACAACAGGCTACACACAATTGGTTGGAAACCCACTCCAACCCGGGCTGGCTTCAAACTCATGACCTTTTTGGTTAGAGTGATCTTAATGCAGCTGACACTCAGCCTGCTGCGCCATAATCCATATACATAATATATGTGTATAGATTATGTATATGGATTATAACATTTCTATTATTATATTATGCTATTATTATTATTATCATTATCATTATCTTCTTCTAGAGCTTCCTGCCATGTCGCTGTCTCACTTATCTATTACATTATCATTATATTATTATTAATATCAATAATTAGTATTTTTCTATTCTATATCATGTTATGTTAATAACAGAATATTATATTAAATTATATTATTATTCTTATTACTATTCTTCTTCCGTAGTGTCCCCTTTGCTTTATTATATATTATTGTATTGTATTATTATTTACTATTATATTATAATATTAATATAATGACATTCTTTATTATATTATTACCTACTAATGTATCTTATTTGCTATTATATTACATTAATGGTCCCATGTAAGCTGCCCTGAGTCCCTTTAGGGAGATGGAGGTGGGGTATAAAAATAAAGTTATTATTTTATTACATTATTATTATTATTATTAATAATAATGTTGTTATTATTGCATCTTTATTATATTCTTCCAGAGTTTCCGGCCATGTCGCTGTCTCATTTGTTTGGCGGTGGCGGAGGGGGCGGTCCCGACCTGCGACCTGGGCAGGAAGCGGAAGCGGAGGGCATAGAGTTGGAGGCCTTTGAGGTGACGGAGTGGGATCTCCAGAACGAGTTCAACCCCCTCCGCCACCGGCAGCACCGCCAGACTAAGGAGCAGGCCCTCTATGGCGTCTGGGCAGAAAGAGAAGAACGTGAAGGGGCGGGACCAGAACAGGAAGGGGAAGAGGACTCTGACGACGAGGAGCAGGAGGCAGGATGGGAGGACCTTGATGGACAGCACCAGCAGCACCGGCCCAGCTTTGCAGGGAAGCGGTAAGTGGAGAGGCGTACATGTATATATCATACTAGATAATAATAATAAATGTAACATAGAATATAATAAATATAGTTGTTTTAGAATATAATAAATATAGTTATTTTATGTAATAAAAGTAATATAATATAATAAGAAGTAATGGATAATAATATATAATACAATAATATATACTAAAATAAAGTAAACTTAATATGATAATAAAATATATAATATTAGATAAATGTTATATAACAGATAATAGATAATAATACAAAAATAATAATAAATAAGTCTCATATAATAATATATAGTAAACGTAATGCAAAACAATAATAAATTTGATAATATATAAGAAATGCAATATAAGAAAGAGAGTGGATTACAATAATAATAATATATTTTCAGGTCACGGGATTATTCAGCTCCGGTGAATTTCATTAGCGCCGGATTGAAGAAAACTGCGGCTGAAGAAATAATAACCGATGATGAAGAAGAAGACTCAGAGGAAGAAGGAAAGAAGAAGACAAAGAAGAAAGAGGAAAAAGGTCCCAAAAAGGAGTTCGTCCCAAAAAGACTGAAGACGGTATTGTTGTTGTTGTTGTTGTTATCGTTATTAAATTTTATTATATTATTATTATTTATATGTACAACATGTAAATTATTGTTGTACATATAAGGAGGGAGCAAGCTTGTTTTCTGCTTCCTTGGAGACTAGGACGCGGAACAATGGCTTCAAACTACAAGAAAGGAGATTCCATCTGAACATGAGGAAGAACTTCCTGACTGTGAGAGCCGTTCAGCAGTGGAACTCTTTGCCCCGGAGTGTGGTGGAGGCTCCTTCTTTGGAAGCTTTTAAACAGAGGCTGGATGGCCATCTGCCAGGGGTGATTTGAATGCAATATTCCTGCTTCTTGGCAGGGGGTTGGACTGGATGGCCCATGAGGTCTCTTCCAACTCTTTGATTCTATGCTTCTATGTAAATTATTATTATTATTATTATTATTATTTACATTTACAACACAGCACACATGCACATTATATTTATTATTTTATTTTATTGTTAGATTATATTATATTTTTAATACTTGTTATATTTTATATTATTATTATTGTATTTTAATATATTTTCCATTACATGTACCTAACACATGCACTTATTATTATTATATTTATTGTTAGATTTTATATTATATTTTATTATTTATTGTTAGATTTTATATAATTATTTTTATTATAGTCTATTATATTGTTATTTAAGTGTACGTAACACATATTTTTATTTATGTGTAGGTAAAATATTTTATTTTTATTATTATATATTGTTAGTTTATTATTACATTATATTTCATAATTATTATATTTTATTATTTGCATGTACGTGAACACATAACTTGTGCACTTTTTATTGTATTACTTTTATTATATTTTATTATGTTATTTTATTAGAATTATATATTTTTTCCTCCCTTCATTTGGGAATTTTTTTTTAAAATATCCAGGATCGTATTGGCGCTTTTTTGCCATGATGTCATGCTATTGGCTTATAGATTTTCCCATTTTTATTATTACACTAGCTTGGGGACTTGGCGATTCCTGGGGTATTAGAAGAAGGCACTGTTTGTTTTGGGATGTTAGCTATCTGTTTGATAATTTGTAGCTCTATTTATTAGGAAAAACTCAGTCTTTCCTCTTGTTTTTTATGAATGCTCTGATTGGGAAATACGGGTGAATTTCAATTCCCAGAATCGTGGGTCAATCCTCCCCAAACTCCACCAGTATTCAAAGTGCTCTCTGGATAAGGTTGAACTACAACTCCCAGACCCAAGGTCAATCACCCCCAAACCCCGTCTGTATGCACAGTTGGCCATGTTGGATTTGTGTGCCAAGTTTGGTCCAGATATGACGTCAGGGCTCTCTGGATAAGGGTGAACTACAACTCCCAAAATCAAGGTCAATTCCCACAAACCCCTCCAGTAAGTTGAGTTAGTCATGGGGGTTCTGTGTGCCAAGATGGTTCCAGGTCCATCATTGGTTGGGTTCAGAGTGCTCTTAGATCATAGGTGAACTATACATCCCAGGACCTACAACTCCTATAAATCATGGTGAATTCTCCTTAAACCTGTCTAGTATGTTCAGAGAGAGTTAAGGGAGAGGTATTGGGCGGGGTCATGCAAATTCCACACCAATGGAAAGATTCAGAAGCACTGGGATGCTTGTGGTGGAGGAAACACATGAAATCTAGGGTGAAATTGTCCCTGTATGAAAGCCTTCACTTGGGTGGTGGGCAGTATGGTGTTTGTGGAGGACATTAGCGGGGCTCTTGCACATGTTCATGGCACTTGCTATAAACTTTAATGCCTTTGGTGTCCCTTGAGCAGTGGGAGCGATAGCTGTTTGTGGAGGCAGGAGCTAGTTTGTGTAAGTGGACACCCCAGACACACACACATACATATTTTCACTTTTATTATGTGTATAGATATTATTATATATTTTATGATGATGATGATTATTATTATTTTTCTTCAGGGTGTGAACTTTAAGCCAAGCCAAAGGGCCTTTTTTGGTGGAACAAAGTCCTTTTTGGACTTTGGAAGTTGGGAGCGACACACCAAGGGAATCGGGCAGAAACTCCTTCAGAAAATGGGATATGTCCCCGGAAGAGGCCTTGGCAAGAACGCACAAGGTCATTATTTTCTTCTTCTTCTTCTTCTTCTTCTTCTTCTTCTTCTTCTTCTTATTATTATTATTATTATTATTAATTGTATTCTATTATTATCATGAAACATTTATATTATTTTATTAGAGATTATAATATTTAATTATAGATTATAATACTATTTTTATTATTTTATTTATCATTATTTACTATTTTAATTTTAATTGTATTCTTATATTATCATCCTGTGAGATTTATATTATTTTTATATATTATTGTTTTATTATATAGTATAATGTTATTTAATATTATTTATATTATTATTTATAATATATTATTGACTTATTGTTAAATATGTATATTTTATTATAAATACTTTATTATATTTATTATATTTATTATTTATTATTATATTTATTATATTTATTATTTATTATTATGTATTATATTATATTATTATTTATATTATATTATACAATTGTACAATTCTAATATATTATTATATATTATTCTCATTATCTATATAAATAAAAATGTAATGTTCGTTTGTGGGATTAACACAACTCAAAAACCACTGGGCGAATTGACAACAAATTTGGACACAATATACCTATCAGGCCAACAAGCGACCATCACTCATAAAAACACTGAAAAACACAGCAGAAGAAACTTAAAAAGCCAACAAACAAAATTTACATTACAATGCATGTGCAAAACCACATATATATACACAAATACACATATACACATTTACACAAATATACACACACACAAAACACATATAACCACACTGGACCACAGGAAAGCGTGGCAGGGGACAGCTAGTTTATTATATAATGTTATATTGTTTTTATTATTCCCAGGCATCCTGACCCCAATCGAGGCCAAGCAGCGGAGGGGGAAGGGAGCCCTGGGAGCTTATGGATCTGAGCGGACGGCCCAATCACTGCAGGACTTTCCGGTGGGCCCCGATTTGTCTGAGGAAGAAGAGGAGGATCTTAAGCGGGAGCTCGGCCAGTGGCGGAAGGAGCCTGGGAAGAAGCGACCTGGCCCCAAGTACAGCTACAAGACTGCAGAAGAGCTCAAGGCCCGGGGGCGGGGCCAAGGGAGGGGAGGGGCCTCCGGAGACATAGCAGCGTCCGCCACAGGGACGGGACCTCGTCCACATCCCCCCAATGTCAAGGTCAGCATCCCAGTCTGGTATAATAATAATAATAGTTATAATATATAACAATAATAATTATAATAATATATAATAATATAATACTGACAAATATATAATACTACTGCTAATAATATATGATAAATATAATAATAAATAAATATAGAATAATATATAATACATTATATGTAATACAATAATATGTACTATAATTACCTGTCCAAACGCATCTCCCTCTATGTACCATCGTGGAGATTAAGATCCTCCGGGGAGGCTCTGCTTTCCGTCCCGCCATTGTCACAGGCACGATTGGTGGGGATGAGAGACAGGGCCTTCTTGGTGATTGCTCCCCGGCTATGGAACTCCCTTCCTTGTGAGATCAGGTCGGCCCCCTCCCTCCTGTCCTTTAGAAGGATGGTAAAAACTTGGCTGTGGGACCAAGCTTTCAGGTCAGGGCAACGAAGCGACAATGGGAAATATGACAGGGCCAATTGGATTTGATGCAGATGGCTAGGACGGTTTTAAATTGTGTTATTTTAAATGGTGTATTTTAATATTTAGATAAATGTTTTTTTAATGTTTATGTATTGTATCCAGGCACTGAATGTTTGCCATGTATATGTTGTGCTCCGCTCTGAGTCCCCTTCGGGGTGAGAAGGGCGGAATATAAGTGTTTTAAATAAATAAATAATAAATAAATAAATAAATAATATGTATATAATATATATATACATACAATAATAATATAATAATATAATAATATAGTAATAATACAATTAAAATTACAATATAGTAATATATAATAATATGTAACAATATATAAATGTTTATATGTATGTATATAATACAATAATCAATATAGTAATAAATAATAATAAATATAATAATACAGTATTATTTTTAATATATATATATTTCTTTAACTTATATTTCTCTCAGGTGATTGACATGACCGGTCGTGAGCAGCGGGTGTATTACAGCTACAGCCAGATCAGCCAGAAGACGCAGCAGGTTCCTCCCCCATCCGAGGCGGGCAGCCAATCCCCTTCTTCTTTCTCACATTTGCCGGGCAGACCTCCCCCAGCCAAGCCTCCTCCCAGCTTCTCCCTGCCGGAGCTGGAGCACAATCTGCAGTTGCTGATCGACTTGACGGAGGAGGAGATCCTGCAGAGCGACCGACGGGTCCAGGCGGAGCGGGACCGCGTGGCTGTCCTGGGGGCTGAGATCGCAAAGGCGGAGGTGGCCCTCCAAGAAGAAGAGGCCCAAATACACAGCCTGGAGAAGGTCCTGGAAGCTGTGGAGACCTGTGAGAAGCGGCCCCTCACCCTCGAGGAAGCTGCCAGTATCTTCCGGAAGCTGCAGCGTGAACACGGGCCCGAGTACCACCTCTGTGGCCCCGACACCCTGGCTGCTGCCATCGCCTTCCCCTTAGTCAGGGAACACTTCCGACAATGGCAGCCCCTCAAGGTAGGGAAAGAAAAATTTATTATATTATATTATATTATATTATATTATATTATATTATATTATATTATATTATATTATTTATTCATTTTGCTGACACAAAAACACAGTATGTCACAGCAAACGAGATCTATATGCTGGATTTCGTATCCCAAAATCACAAGTTGAACACTTCCCGAGCGCTTAGGACTGTGTGATGTGTTTTCTAATGATGTGTGTAGATCCAAGTCAGGTGGCCTTTTGCAGTTAACAGATTGTGATTTTGTCAATGTTTATTGTTTCCAAAATCCGGCTGAGATCTTTTGGCACGGCACCCGGTGTGCCAATGACCACTGAGGCCACCTGTACTGGTTTATGCCAGAGCCCTTGCAGTTCGATTTTGAGGTCCTGATAACGGCTGAGTTTTTCCTGTTGTTTTTTGTCAATTTGTCACGTGGAATGGCGACGTCAATAATCCAAACTTTTTCTTTTCCACAATCGTGATATTTGGTGTATTGTGTTCCAAAACTTTGTCAGTCTGGATTTGAAAGTCCCACAGTAGTTTTGTGTGTTCATTTCCCACTCCCTTTCCTGGTTTATGATCCCACCAGTTCTTTACTACTGGCAGGTGGTACTTGTGACATAAATTCCAAAGAATTATTTGGGCCACAGAGTTGTGCCTCTGTTTGTAGTCCATCTGTGTGATTTTCTTGCAGCAGCTGAGGATATGATGCATGGTTTCATTAGCTTCCTTGCACAGTCTGCATTTTGGGTCATGCGCTGATTTTTCAGTCCTGGCCTTAATGGCATTGGTTCTGATGGCTTGCTCCTTGGCTGCAAGAATCAGGCCTTCTGTCTCCTTCATCAGGCTTCCATTCATGAGCCATCACCAGGTCTTCTCCTTGTCAACTTTTCCTACCAATTTTGGCAAGGAACTGCCCATGCAATGCTTTGTTGTGCCAGCTGTCAGGTCTGGTTTGGAGTGCTGTTTTCTTGTACCGATTCTTTGTCTGCTGTGCTTTGAGAAGTTTCCGATGATTGACTTCAATTAAAGCAGGTTCTTGGCTTTCATAATAAAACTAGCTGTCCCCTGCCACGCGTTGCTGTGGCCCAGTCTGTTGACCTGGAAAATAAAGTAATGACAAAGTATTGGTTTCTAATATATGTAATGTCTTCCTGCTTGTGGGTAAACAGTATTTCTTGCTGTTTCTTTGTCAGTGTTGATGTAGAGATTGTCTGGTTTGCCTACTCTGGAACATGTAACATATCATAGTCCTTCTTTAAGGGTCTCTTTCAAATCTATGATTCTATATCAGTGTGTGTGTGAACCATATCTATCTATATCTATGGCTGGATGGCTCTTTGTCAGGAGGGCTTTGATGACGTTTTCTTGCCCTGGTGAAGGGAGTTGGACTGGATGGCCTTGAGTATTTTCTGTTGGTCATGGGGGTTCTGTGTGGGAAGTTTGGCCCAATTATGTCATTGGTGGGGTTCAGAACACTCTTTGATTGTAGATGAACTATAAATCCCAGTAACTACAACTCCCTAATGTCAAGGTCTATTTCCCCCAAACTCCATCTGTGTTCATATTTAGGCATATTGAGTGCTTGTGCCAAGTTTGGTCCAGATCCATCATTGTTTGAGTCCACAGTGCTCTCTGGATGTAGGTGAACTACAACTCCCAAACTCAAGATCAGTGCCCACCAAACCCTTCCAGTGTGTTCTGTTGGTCTTTGAAGTCCTGTATGCCATGTTTGGTTCAATTCCATCATTGGTGGGGTTCAGAATGCTCTTTGATTGTAGGTGAACTATAAATCCTAGCAATTGCAACTCCCAAAGGACAAAATCATAATTTTTTGAGTGATGGTCACTCCGTGTTGTGAGACGTTTTGTTGCCAAATTTGGTGTGATTTCGTTCATTGGTTCTGTTGTTTTTAAGGAACTCATTATGCACGGAGCATTTTTATATATATAAAAGATTACTAAAGCGGTGCTCGGATACAATCCAAAAAACGACAGAATTATCTCAATTCGAGTGCAAGGAAAGCCTTTTAACATTACAGTGATCCAAATATATGCACCAATCACAGCTGCTGAAGAAGCAGAAGTGGATCTGCAGCACTTACTGGATAATACCCCAAAAAGAGACATTATTTTCATTACAAGAGACTCGATCACAGGCAAGCATGGTCTGGGACAACAAAATGAAGCGAGATGCAGGCTGATAGAATTTTGCCAGGAAAACTCACTGTGTATAACAAACACTCTCTTCCAACAACATCAAATCAAATCAAAACATTTATTTCGGTCATTGACCAGCACAGGAAATAGTGTCACATTTCCATACAAACCTGGCATGTTTGGTACATTAAAAATATAAATACAACTACTAAAAACACAATATGGGTGAGGGAGCAGAAGGGGAAACAGGGTAAAAACATACAATGCCCAGATCCATCACCAAATTGTAGATTCAGGGAAGACGATTACTGGACACACAGTTGACTTTTGGAACTAGTCATTCCCTGGCGGATTTTGTATGCTGCTGCACAAAACTTTGCGACATTGTAGGTTGTAGCTGAATTAGTATCCGCAAGTAGCAGGGAGGTATAAAATTGTCCTGAATGGCCTGGGTGCTTGTCTATCAGAGGTAAGATAAGCCTGGCACGGGTATCCCTGTAGAACGGACACTGAAGGAGCACATGTTCTATTGTTTCCACATGACCCGAGTCACAGGGGCAGAGTCTCTCTGGGAAAGGGATCTTCCGGTAGCGGCCCTCGAGTACAGCTGATGGGAGAGCGTGGCATCGGGCCAGGGTGAAAGCCCTCCGATGAATAGGAACCTCTAAGTATGTTAACAACATAAAAGATGTCTCTATACATGGACTTCACCAGATGGAAAGGAGGGAGAAAGGAAGGAAGGAGGAAAGGAAGAAAGATAGAAAAGAAGAAAGAAGGGGAAGGGAAGGAAGAAAGGAAGAAGGAAGGAAGGAAGGGAGGAAAAAAGGAAGAAGAAGAGAAAGAGAGGGAAGAAAAAGAGAAGGAAAAGGAAGGAAGAAGAGGAAGGAAGGAAAGAGAGAGGGAAGAAAGGAGAGAAAGAGGAAGGAAAATAAAAAGGGAGGAGGAAGGAAAGAGGAAGAGAAGGAAGGAGGAGAGAAGGAAAAAAAAGGGAAGGGAGGAAAGATGGAGCAAAAGAAGAAGAGAAAGAAGGAGAGAAAGAGGGAGGGGAGGAAGGAAACAAAGAGAAGGAAGGATGGGAGCAAAAAGCTAAGGAAGGAACTAAACAGGTAGAGAAGGAAGAAAGGAAAGAAGAAAAGGAAATGAAGGAAGGAGAGAAAGAGGGAGAGAAGGTTGGCCACAGCAACGCGTGGCGGGTAAAGCTAGTGTTATATATAATGTTTATCATTATTATAAATGCGTAAGATTCACAGTTGTTCCCCCCCCCCCCCTTTTCTAGGACTGCAGTTACGGTACAGAGATCATGGCGAAATGGAAGTCCCTCCTGGAGAACGACCACCTCTTGTCCCATGGGGGGCAGGACCTATCCTCAGACGCATTCCACCGGTGAGTCCAGGAGCAGCTATATTACTTTTACAACTTCTCCAAAGGCAACTCTTCCCATTTTACTTACCGCCGCCTTCCTTCCCCCCTCGGTGTTGCTATATATATTATAATGCTTTTATTATATTTATATTAGATTACTAGCTGTCCCCTGCCACGCGTTGCTGTGGCCCAGTCTGGTGATCTGGAAAATAAAGTAATGAGAAAGTGTTGGTTTCTAATATATGTAATTCCTTTCTGCTTGTGAGTAAACAGTATTTCTTGTTGTTTCTTTGTCAGTGTTGATGTGGAGAGTGTCTGGTTTGCCTACTCTGGAATATGCAACATATCATAGTCCTTCTTTAAGGGTCTCTTTCAAATCTATGATACTATATCTGTGTGTGTGTGTGAGAATCATATCTATCTATATTTATGACTGGATGGCTCTTTGTCAGGAGGGCTCTGATTACATTTTCTTGCCCTGGTGAAGAGAGCTGGACTGGATGGCCTTAAGTATTTTCTGTTGGTCATGGGGGTTCTGTGTGGGAAGTTTGCCCCATTTCTGTCGTTTGTGGGTTTCAGAATGCTCTTTAATTGTAGTGAACTATAAATCCCAGTAACTACAAATCCCAAATGTCAAGGTCTATTTCCTCCAAACTCCATCTGTGTTCATATTTAGGCATATGGAATTTTTGTGTCAAGTTTGGTCCAGATCCATCATTGTTTGAGTCCACAGTGCTCTCTGGATGTAGGTGAACTACAACTCCCAAACTCAAGGTCAATGCCCACCAAAGCCTTCCAGTGTGTTCTGTTGGTCATTGAAGTTCTGTATGCCATGTTTGGTTCAATTCCATCATTGGTGGAGTTCAGAAAGCTCTTTGATTGTAGGTGAACTATAAATCCCAGTAAGTACAAATCCCAAATGTCAAGGTCTATTTCCTCCAAACTCCATCTGTGTTCATATTTGGGCATATGGAATATTCGTGCCAAGTTTGGTCCAGATCCATCATTGTTTGAGTCCACCGTGATCTCTGGATGTAGGTGAACTACAACTCCAAAACCAAAGGACACTGCCCACCAAACCCTTCCAGTATTTTCTATTGGTCATGGGAAAACTGTGTGCCAAGTTTGGCTCAATTCCATCGTTGGTGGGGTTCAAAATGCTCTTTGATTGTAGGTGAACTAACAATCCCAGCAACTACAACTCCCAAATGACAAAATCAGTTTTTTGAGTGAAGGACATACATTGTGTCTTGTGTCCAAATTTGGTGTCAATTCATCCAGTGGTTTTTGAGTTCTGTTAATCCCACAAACGAACATTACATATTTATTTATATAGATGTTGCATAATATATACTATATTATGTTATTATATTTATTAAGATATATTCATTGTTATATAATTATATATATAATAATAAATATAACAATGTACAGTAATAGAATAATAATGCTGCTGCCTTCTTTCCCCCCTTGAGGCTGATGTGGGAGACGTGGATGCCGATCGTGCGGGGGACAGTGTCGCAATGGCAGGCGCGTGACTGCATCCCAATGGTGGACTTCCTGGACTGCTGGGAGCCCATCATCCCTGTCTGGATCATGGACAACATCCTCGACCAGCTCATCTTCCCCAAGCTCCAGAAGGAGGTGAGCAGGAAGTGTGGGTTTTACCAGGGACTCTTGATTGCAAATGGATCCTTTTGTGGTTGCCAATTTTTTATTACACTGAGATCTTCATTGGAATTAGGTCCCTTTGAGGTTGCCGAATTTGCATTGATCAATATCTAATTTAATCTATCCATCTATTCATCCATCTAGTCATCTGTTCTCTATTCCATCCATCCATTTCTATATATCTGTATTTGCTAATCAGGAAATCATCTACGTATAGTATACTACCTGATTGCTCAACTGCAATATTTACAAAAATATACATAGAACAACAATAAAATATATTTGCAAAATATTAAAAACCATATACACAATATAAACAGTAATAATAAAAATATTTGCAGAAACATTGACAAAGAAGTAATCATTAAAATATTCATGAAAACAGTCATGAAAATATTCGCAGAAATATTCATGAAAATATATGCGGAAATATTTGTAAAATTATTCACAAGAAATAATTCTTCCTCCTTGAAATGTGTTTTATGAAGAATTCTTGTTCATCAGAATGGTCACTTTGAGGTTTATTTTATTTATTTTTTTGTCGTGTCAGGACAACCAGTCAAATTATATTACATTTCTAACAGAACAAAGCAAACAAACAGACAAAATACAAAATTTGTGAGTTTGGTAGTTGATTAAATGTCCTTTGACCAGTATCTGGCCACTTGGAGTGCTTCTGGTGTTGCCGTAAGAAGGTCCTCCATTATGCATGTGGCAGGGCTCAGGTTGCATTGCAGCAGGTGGTCAGTGGTTTGCTCCTCTCCACACTCGCATGTCGAGGATTCCACTTTGTGGCCCCATTTCTGAAGGTTGGCTCTGCATCTCGTGGTGCCAGAGCGCAGTCTGTTTAGCGCCTTCCAAGTCGCCCAGTCCTCTGTGTGCCCAGGGGGGAGTCTCTCATTTGGTATCAGCCATTGGTTGTGCTGCCACTTTTGGACTCTTGCTTGCTGAGGTGTTCCAGCGAGTGTCTTTGGGGTTGCCAAATCTATATTAGGATGAATTCTTCCTTCCGGAAATGTGTATTACGAGGAATTCTCCTTCCTCTTTGGAATTAGGTCCCTTCGAGGTCGCCGAATGTGATTTATGGGGGAATTCTTCCTCTTTGGAAAATGTTTTATGAGGGATTTAAATTTTTTTGGAATATGTTTTACAAGGATTTTTTTCTCCTTGAAATGTGTTTTAAGAGGGATCCTTCCTCCTTGAAATATGTATTATGAGGAATAATTCCTCCTCCTTGAAATGTCTTTTACAGGGGATTCTTCCTTGATATTGGGCCTTTCTCCTTGAAATGTGTATCATGAGGGGTTTCTCTTAGTGAAATGTGTATTACAATTTTGAGGGATTTTTTCTGTTATTAGAATTCACCTTGTGATCTTATCCGCTTGTGTTTTATGGGGGAAGTTTCCACCTTATCGGAAAGCATTCTGTCCAGTTTTGTTGCATATTATTTACAAAAGATTGTCATTGAGTTTGTTGGATGTTTTGTGAGTAATCTTGGAGAGCTTCCATATCTCCTCCTTTTGTTCCTGTAGGTGGAGGGCTGGAACCCGCTGACGGACACGGTCCCAATCCACGCCTGGGTGCACCCTTGGTTGCCACTGATGCGCTCCCGATTGGAGCCGCTGTACGCACCCATCCGCAGCAAGCTGTCGAGCGCGCTCCAGAAGTGGCACCCCAGTGACGCCTCCGCCAAGCTCATCCTCCAGCCCTGGAAGGACGTCTTCACCCCCGGCTCCTGGGAGGCCTTCATGCTCAAGAACATCCTCCCCAAGCTCGGTGAGTGAGATATCCCAGGGGGCATTCGTGGGGGTCCAAAATGGACTGTATTAATATTATTATAGTCTCACTATCCTTCCTACTCAACAGGGATGTGCTTAAACGAGCTGGTGATCAACCCACACCAGCAACACATGGACGCCTTCTTCTGGGTCATGGACTGGGAGGGGATGATCTCCGTCTCTAGCTTGGTCGGCCTCCTCGAGAAGTACTTCTTCCCTAAATGGCTCCAGGTATAAGGAATTCTCCCTCCTCTTTGGAATGTATATGGCAAGGGACTCCTATGACAAATGGCCTGTATCATGACTTGAATTGTCATTCAATCTGATGTCTTATATTAATTGATCCTGTTAATTTGCTCGGTTTCCATGGTTTTTCCTACGCTGTTATACATTGTCATCTTCCTTACTAAACCACTTTATCCTTTCACTAGTTCACATAGTGGTTTACCTCCCCACCTCCAAAATTAGCCTGCTGTTGTTGTTGCTAGCTATTTTTGTTATGTTGTTTTATGCTGTTTTAATTGTTATTACTTTATTTAAATTTTATTTTGCCGGGGCTTGGGCCCCAGGTAAGCTGCCCCGAGTCCCTTTGGGGAGATGGAGGCGGGGTAAAAAAAATAAACTCCTCCTCCTCCTCCTCTTTGGAATCGGGTCCTTTTGTGGATGCCAACTTTGTATTACGAGGAATTCTTCCTCATGATGTGTTTTACGAGCAATTATTTTTCCTCTTTGAAATGCGTTTTACAAGGGATTTTTTGCCCTCCTCAGAATTGGGTCCCTTTGTGCTCACCAAATGTGTATTATGAGGAATTATTTTTCTTATATTATTATATTTTTATATACTATGTTTTATATTTTATGTTTTTATTTTAATTGCTTGTACTGTTATTGTTTTGCTTGTATTGTTGTATTTGGGCTCGGCCTCATGTAAGCCGCACCGAGTCCCTTGGGGAGATGGTGGCGGGGTACAAATAAAGTGTTACTATTCTCATTATTATTATTCCTTTAAATGTACATTACCAATTAATTCTCCCTTTTCTTTGGAATTGGGCCCCTTTGTGGTCATCGAATATGTATTACAAGGCATTCTTCCTCTTCCTTGGAACATGTTTACGAGGTATTGTCGAAGGCTTTCATGGCCGGAATCACTGGATTGTTGTAGGTTTTTTTGGGCTATATGGCCATGTTCTAGAGGCATTCTCTCCTGATGTTTTGCCTGCATCTATGGCAAGCATCCTCTGAGGTAGTGAGGTCTGTTGGAACTAGGAAAATGGGTTTATATATCTGTGGAAAGACCAGGGTGGGACAAAGGACTCTTGTCTGCTGAAGCTAGGTGTGAATGTTTCAACTGACCACCTTGATTAGCATTTGATGGCCTGGCAGTGCCTGGGACAATCTTTTGTTGAGAGGTTATTAGATGTTCCAGATGGCACTGCAGGCCATCAAATGCTAATGAAGGTGGTCAGTTGAAACATTCACACCTAGCTCCAGCAGACAAGAGTCCTTTGTCCCACCCTAGAATTGGGTTGCTTTGTGGTCATCAAATTTGTGTTACAAGGAACTCTTCCTCCTCCTTAAAATGGCTTTTACGAGTAGTTTTCCCTCTCATTAATGTCCTCTCATTAACGTCCCTCTTGTTTACTCCCTTGTTGTCCCCGCACAGGTGCTGTGCTCATGGCTGAGCAACAACCCGAACTACGAGGAGATCACAAAGTGGTACCTGGGGTGGAAGTCCATGTTCTCGGACCAGGTGCTAGCCCATCCCTCCGTCAAGGAGAAGTTCAACGAGGCCCTCGACATCATGAACCGAGCCGTCTCCTCCAGCGTTGGTAGGTTCAGTCGGTCATCCTCCATGTCTTCTTTAACATTGAATACAGTAATGTCATCTACGTATAGAACTACCTGATTTATCAACTACTCCCTCCCTCCCTCTCTATAGTATTATTATCTTATTGATTTACCGAGCAACCTGTTCATTGACTACAGTAATGTCATCTACGTATAGAACTATTTCATTGATATATATAACTAATACTATTATATTTAGCATATATTTATTATGCATAAGGCTAAAAGAGCCTTATTCAGGAGGGGTTTAGTTGTGTATTTGTGTGTGTGTAGACATTTATTTATTTATTTATTTGACTTGTATACCGCTACTCCCAATTTGGCTCGGAGCGGTTTACAGCAGTAGATTAAAACAATACAATTAACTTTAAAATACAATAAAACAAGAACAGACATAGTCCCGAGTTATTCACCCATCGAAAGCTTGTCGGAAGAGAAAGGTTTTACAGGCTTTCCGAAAAGCAAGTAGGTCTCGGATAGTTCGGGTTTCAACTGGCAAGGCCTTCCATAAATAAGGGGCTACAATCGAGAAGGCTCTCTGCCTAGTAGAGGACAGATGAGAAGTCCGGATGATGGGGACTTCAAGCAAATTTTGGTCCTCGGACCGAAGTAATCTCTGGGGTTGGTAGGGGGATAAGCGTACATTATTGTAGTCAATTGACTGAATGAGATGTGAATTAAGTTATATACGTTATATACATTGATATTACTGTCGTTAATCAATGTGCTACATGTATATGTATGCAGTATTACTGTAGTTGATATAATAGGTAGTTCTATATGTAGATAATATAATAATATAAAAATATAATATAATAAATAGTACTAAATATATTATAATATTAAATATATTTAAATATGAACCGTGCTGTCCCCTCCAGCATTGGTACCTGGGGCGGCTCGTCCATTACGCGAAGTAAGCGGTCGCAGAACACTTTTTTTTGCCAGGGGCGCAGAGGCGCCTCTGTAAATGCCCCTCGACCGCCACTTGAGGAGCGCCCCCTCAGCTCACAACAGCCCTAGCAGTCCGGGGGGAGCCTCGGCTTTCTTGCCTCGCTGCCGGGCGAATCTTTTCCCAAAGGAACCGGGCCCTTGAGCCTCACCTAGCCCCTCTCGTTCCTGCTCCACCAGGTGCGCAAGCAGAGCCGGCGCTCAGTTGTTCTCCGCGTTCTATCCTTCCCCATGACTGGCTCCCTTTCTTGATCCCCCAGCGCTCCACCCGCCTCCTCTCCTCTCCTCTCCCCAATCCGCGAGTGGGCCAAGGGGCGGAGCCACCGCGCCTGGCCTGCTTCGGGTCCAGAGGCATGTCTGAAGACCCCAGCGTGCGCACCAAAAGTCGCCTTTTCTCCTGACTTTCTCTTCAGCCATTGGGACCGAGAGAGAGAGAGAGAGAGAGAGAGAGCCCCTCCAGCTGGAGGTATCTCCCACCTCTGCTCCCTCCTTTGTTTTTGCGCCTACCTTCAGGAAAGGTGGGCATCTCCACCTCTCTCTCTCTCTCTCTCTCTTGGGGGGAGGAGGGAAGGATGGCGTATGGGCGGGTAGGGGCGGGGCGGCGAAGGGAGGGGTGTGGCTTCCACGGAGGGGGCATGGTCCGGCCATGTGCGCACGCCATGCGGCTCGCGCCGGGACGCCTCTGCGCATGCTCTGTTTGTTTCTGTGATTGTGAGTTTGTTGTAATGTTGTTTTGAATTGTGATGAATGTTGTGCATACCTTGTGGTTTGAGTTATGTATATGCCATAATAACATACTAAAAATTAATATATGACTATTATCCTATTCTGCAGGGGGCTACTTGCAGCCAGGTGCCCGCGAGAACATTGCCTACCTGACACACACTGAGAGGTGCAAGGACTTCCAGTATGAGGCCATGCAGGAGCGGCGTGAGGCAGAGACGGTAGCGCAGCGCGGGATTGGCATGGCAGCCGGAGGGTCGGTGCCCATGAACTTTAAGGACCTTATCCAGGCCAAGGCCGAGGAGCACAACATCGTCTTCATGCCCGTCATCGGGAAGCGCCACGAGGGGAAGCAACTTTACACCTTTGGACGCATCGTCATCTACATCGACCGTGGGGTCGTTTTTGTCCAGGGGGAGAAGACATGGGTACCCACCTCCCTACAGAGCCTCATCGACATGGCCAAGTGAAGGAGGAGGGTAGTGGGTCGTTTGGAGGCGGGACTTCTGAGTCGAGGGGGGAACTTATTCCCATACCCTTGAGGGGGGATTGTATTGCATTGGCCGTTGTATTGCATTGGGGAGTCCAATTTGTAATATAACAAAGCTTGTTTTCAAATAATACATAAATTTTTTAGGACTCAATTTAGTCTGGTTTATCTCTCGTTTATCGCTCACTTATTCCTGAAGCGTGTCATCCGATTTGTGATATAATGAGCCTGGTTTTCAACAAATAATAGATATATTTTGGGACTGGATTTAGTCTCATTTCTCACTCGTTTGTTCCTGAAGCGTGGTAAATAATAATGATTTATTTATCTTATTAAAAAATGTATCGATAATTGTTATGTGATAGGATAGTTATTATTACTAATATATATAATATTTTTTAAAAATTAATATTAATATAGAATGATAGCAATAATATAAGGAGCCCCCGCTGGCGCAGTGGGTTAAAGCCCTGTGGCGGCAGGACTAAAGACCAACAGGTCGCAGGTTTGAATCCGGGGAGAGGCGGATGAGCTCCCTCTATCAGCTCCAGCTCCTCATGCGGGGACATGAGAGAAGCCTCCCACAAGGATGATAAAAACATCAAATCATCCAGGCGTGCCCTGGGCAACGTCCTTGCAGACGGCCAATTCTCTCACACCAGGAGTCACTCCTGACACGACAAAAAAAAAAGCAATAATATATGATAATATAATATGTAATAAAATATAGAATAATATATTAACAAAGATAACAAGGATTGAGACATTTAACTTCAGGTAAGAACTAAATAATGCATAATATTAATAATAACGGAATTACGCCTTCTCATTTATTCAACACATTTATTAATACAAAAATCATATTTGCCTTTTTCACAACAATTTTTCATTTCTCTTGAAGTCCATGCAAATCTCTTTTTTCTGATTCTTCCGGATGATCTCTAGTTGCCTCTCCTCGTTTTCCTCGTAAACGGGTTCTTCTGGAAGCTTCCAGATTTCTCCAGAAAGTTCTTCTAGCTTCGACAATGGGAAGCAATGAATGGAAGTGTCGTTGAATATGTCCATATATTGAGGATGGGATGGAAATGGAGTCTCATCAGTCGCTAGTAAGATCTACAAAAATATTTTTGCAATATTTGTCAGAATATATTTACAATATTTTTTCAATATATTTTGGTGTATTTTTTCAGAATCTTTTTGCATTATTTTTTCACAATATTTTGGTTATTTTTTCCTGAAGATTTTTGCAATATTTCTTTCAGGATATATTTGCAATACTTTTGCATTTTTCCCCCCAAATATCTTTTTTCAAAATATTTTTGCAATATTGTTTTCGGAATATTTTTACAGTATATTTTGGAATTTATTTCAGAATATCTTTTGTATATTTTTGCAAAAATAATAAATAAAAATATGTAATGATAATAATACCACAAGAATATTTATGGAACATTATTAGAATATCTTTACACTATTTTTCAGAATATTTTTGCAAAAAAAATTTGCAATACTTTTTCCAAATATTTTGGCAATATATTTTTTGCAATATTTTTCAATTTTTTTCTTGCAGTATTTATTGGATTTTTGCAATATCTTTAGAATATTCTGTAATATTTATTGGATTTTTTCAATAATAATAAACAAAATAACTAAAAATTCACCGACATATTACCTTTGCAATGTAAGTATATTCTTTGTGGAATATTTTGGATGGCATCCTAGAAGACAAGAGAAACAGGGAATTAACTGAACAACAAAAATATTAGTAATAATCCCCCCTGACCCCTAAAACAGGAAGACCCGCCCACCTGTCTTGGATGCCCCGGAAGCTGTTCCCAAGGACGGCCATCTTGGAAAGTGTTTCCGGGGCCCAGTTGCTCCAGAGCAGGTTGTTGTACAGGGCTTTCCCACAATGCACCATGAAGAACAGCGTCCGCACACCTGAAACGACACAGTGCTTCCCTTCCTGCAGAGGAGCAAGAAGAAGAAACAATTATTATTATTGTGAAAATATTCTGTAAATATTGCAAAAAAATATTGCAAAAATATTCAGGAAATATATCGTCGAAGGCTTTCATGGTCGGAATCACTGGGTTGTAGGTTTCTCAGGTTGAATGCCATGTTCTAGAATCATTCTCTCCTGATGTTTTGCCTGTATCCGTGGCAAGCATCCTCAGAAGTTGAGAGGCAACCTCTGAGGATGCTTGCCACGGATACAGGCAAAACGTCAGGAGAGAATGCTTCTAGAACATGGCCATACAACCTGAAAAACCTACAACAACACATTCAGGAAATAGTTGCAAAAATATTTGGGAAAATATAGCAAAAAGAGGCATTATAATAATTTCATGCATTTATTTATTTATTATTGCACAAAATATCCAACAAATACTGCAAAAAATATATTCAAAATATTCCAAGCATATTCTGAAAAGATATACCCATTTTACATATTATTTTTATATTTTTACATACTATTTTAACACCCCATAAATATTGCAAAAATATTCCAAAACTATTGCAGAAACATTGCACAAATATTCTGAAAACATAAAAAAAAATCTTACAAAAATATTCCTCAATGAGGAATTACTATTATGTATTATTTCTATTTATTATTGCAACCAAAAAATCCAAAAAATATTGCAAAATTATTCTGAAAGAATATTCCATAAATTACGGAAATATTTCAAAAAGAGCTCTTATTGTCATCATATAGTAGTTTTATTTATTTATTATTATTGCAAAACTATCCAATAAATATTGCAAAATATTACCAAATAGAGGTATTAGTATCATTATTTATTTATTATTACCTCATTTTCTGTAATGACTTGGAGCCCGAGGCGATGAAGGACCTCGATTTCGAATTCAGAAAAAACGGGATCGAAGACAAAGCAACAATCGCGAGGAATCTTGAAATAAGGAAAACAGATGGAGAAGATATATATATATATTTATCTATACACATAATAAAAGTAGAAATCTGTATATATGTGTGTGTGGCTGAGGTATTCCTTTCTCCATTGATATGGAATTTGCATGGCCCCACCCACTGACTCTCCCATAAACCTTTGGGAGGAGAATGGACAATGGATGATGGGACTTGCAGTACCTTCACACACTTCCGCGGACCACTGTGACCCCCACAAATGACAGATCTGGACCAAACCTGGCACACAGACCAACAGAACACACTAGAAGGGTTCTGGGAGGGGAATCGACCCACCCGCGTGGGAGTTATAGTTCACTCTGCATCCAGAGAGCCTTGTGAAGTTTGGTCCAAGGACAAACAAGGACCAAACTTGGCAAACAGAACCTCCATGACCAACAGAACACACTGGATGGGTTGGGGGAACTGATCTATCCACTGGGAGTTGTAGTTCACTTTGCATTTGGAGAGCATTCTGAACCCTACCAAAGACTGTGTATACAGGCAGGGTTTGGGGGTGATTGACCTTGGCATATGGGAGTTGTAGTTCACCTGCACCCACTGAACCCAGCTGACTTTGGATGTAGAATAAATTTGGAGCACAGATAAACAAACCAGACATCGCCGTGTAAGTACTGCAAAAATTATTTTGAAAAATGCTCTTAAAATGTTGAAAAATCTTCTAAAATGTTTCAAAAATGCAAAAACATGCTAAAAATATTGCAAAAAAAATTCTAAAAATGTTGCAAAATTGCAAAACTAATATTTATTTCTCGTGTCAGGGCAACCAGTCAAATTACATTTCTAACAGAACAAAGCAAACAAACAAACAGACAAAATACATAACTTGTGAGTTTGGTAGTTGGTTAAATGTCCTTTGACCAGTATCTGGCCACTTGGAGTGCTTCTGGTGTTGCCGCAAGGAGGTCCTCCCTTGTGCATGTGGCAGGGCTCAGGTTGCATTGCAGCAGGTGATCTGTAGTTTGCTCCTCTCCACACTCACATATCGAGGATTCCACTTTGTAGCCCCATTTCTGAAGGTTGGCTCTGCATCTCGTGGTGCCAGAGCGCAGTCTGTTCAGCGCCTTCCAAGTTGCCCAGTCCTCTGTGTGCCCAGGGGGGAGTCTCTCACTTGGTATCAGCCATTGGTTGAGGTTCTGGGTTTGAGCCTGCCACTTTTGGACTCTCGCTTGCTGAGGTGTTCCAGCGAGTGTCTCTGTAGATCTTAGAAAACTATTTCTAGATTTAAGTCGTTGACATGCTGGCTGATACCCAAACAGGGGATGAGCTGGAGATGTCTCTGCCTTGGTCCTTTCACTATTGGCTGCTACTTCCTGGCGGATGTCAGGTGGTGCAATACCGGCTAAGCAGTGTAATTTCTCCAGTGGTGTAGGGCGCAGACACCCCGTGATAATGCGGCATGTCTCATTCAGAGCCACATCCACTGTTTTAGTGTGGTGAGATGTGTTCCACACTGGGCATGCATACTCAGCAGCAGAGTAGCACAGCGCAAGGGCAGATGTCTTCACTGTGTCTGGTTGTGATCCCCAGGTTGTGCCAGTCAGCTTTCGTATGATATTGTTTCTAGCGCCCACTTTTTGCTTGATATTAAGGCAGTGCTTCTTGTAGGTCAGAACACAGTCCAGAGTGACCCCTAAGTACTTGGGTGTGTTGCAATGCTCCAATGGGATTCCATCCCAGGTGATCTTCAGAGCTCGGGATGCTTGTCTGTTCTTGAGATGAAAGGCACATGTCTGTGTTTTAGATGGGTTGGGGATCAGCTGGTTTTCCCTATAATAGGCAGTAAGAGCACCTAGAGCTTCGGAGAGCTTCTGTTCTACCATCTCAAATCTCCCTGCTTGAGCAGTAATGGCACGATCATCAGCATAGATGAAACTCTCTGTCCCTTCTGGCAGTGGCTGGTCATTTGTGTAAATGTTGAACATGGACGGATCAAGCACGCTCCCCTGAGGCAGGCCGTTCTTCTGTTTCCGCCATCTGCTTCTCTGGCTCTGGAACTCAACAAAAAAGCTCCTGTTTTGTAGCAGGTTTCCTATGAGGTGGGTGAGGTGGTAGTCCTTTGTGATATTATACATTTTTTCTCAGGAGGAGGCGGTGGTTCACAGTATCATAGGCATCACAGTGTCATAGTATTATAGAAGAAGCAAAACTAATACTCTAATAATATTGCAAAACCATTCTAAAAAGATTGCAAAAATATTCTGAAAATATTCTAAAATGTTTCAAAAACTGCAAAAAATATCTTAAAATATTGCAAAAATTGCAAAACTAAGACTCTGATAACATTGCAAAATATTCTAAAAATATCGCAAATATATTCTGAGAAATATTCCGAGCAATACCTGGAGTGTTTGCAAGAGCAGGAGAAGGAAGGCCATTTGTGTCTTTGCAATGGAACAAGAAGAGAAGCTTCCGATCCCATAAGAAATGCATTGGAAAGGCTCCGAAAGGCTCAGCTTTTCCAATGAAAGAATGCCTTCTTCTTCCTCCATAAGGGACTTTCGCAGGGACTTTTGCAGGGATTGCAAGATGATGCCTATGAAAAGGAAGGAAAGAGAAATTTATTATTTATCGTTATTTTGATTTTATTTATTTATTTATTTATTTATTTACTATATTTGTATACCGCCTTTCTCAGCCAATCGGCGACTCAAGGCGGTATATTTAATAACATTTATTATTATTGTTATATATTGTTGCAAAAATATTCCAGAAATAATATTTTTAAATATCATGGAAACATTATGAAAATATTCTAAAAATATTCCATTAAATATTTTGAAAAAATATTCCATAAATATACTTTAAAACATAAGATAAAAATTCTTAAAATATTGCAAAAGTATTCTGGAAAAAATCTTAAAATATTCTGAAAAATATTCTAAAATATTACAAAACATTAGAAAAATAAGAAAACAATCTACAAATATTTCATAAATATACTTTCAAATATAAGAAATATTCTGAAAATATTACAAAAATATTCCAGAAATATTCTAAAAGTATTCCCAAAAATATATTCTAAAGATATTGCAAAATATTCCATAAACATTCTAAAACAATTATGAAAGTATTCTGAGAAAAATATTCAAAAATATTTCATGAATATTCTTTTTAAAATTCCAAAAATATTGTTAAAACATTCTACAGTATTCCAGAAATATTATGAAAAAGAAAATACTGTAAGAATGCTGCAGAACTATGCAACAAATATTTTTTGGGGGGGGGAGGGGGATCCCATAAATATTCTAAAATATTAATAAAGTATTCTAAAAATGTTGCAAAATATTCTAGAAATATTCCTTCAATATCCTAACATCATCATCATTATTATTACTATTTCATTATTATGATTACAGGCCTTACTTTGGCTTATATCCCAGAAGCCTGAGCTTTGCAATTCGAAGCTGCAAGAAAGAAAGAAAAAAATGGAGGATTTCAATAGGATATTATTATTAATAATAATATGGGATAGTTGTAGCATTTGATTATTTTATACATTTCATATTATATTTTTTATTTATTTTCATTTATTATTTTCTTCTATTTATTTTATATTTAATTGTATTTCCTTGTTATTTATATTATATTATATTTATATTATTTTCACTTACTTGATTATATTATTTGTTATATTTTTATTATTTTATTATTTTGCATTATATTATTTAATTTGTAGTATTTTATTATTATTTATAAAAAATAAATAACTTAACTCTTTCCTACCCATTTCTATGGCATGTATCAAACAGGAATTGATCAGCAACTGAACAAGAGCTTTGGGAAGAATTCACCATGACTTAGAGGAGTTGTAGTTCACCTCCATCCAGAGAGCACAGTGAACCCCACCAACACTTGCCACAGATGATAGGATTTGCAGTAATAATAATAATAATTTTATTTTTTTACTTTATGTATTATATTTTATTGTGGTGTGCTTTTTCGTTGCCTTGTATTTTATTTTGTTGTATCGCATTAGCTGCCCTGAGTCCCCTTTAGGGAGATGGTGGCGGGGTATAAATAAAGTTTATTATTGGGTTGTTGTAGGTTTTTCAGGCTATATGGCCATGTTCTAGAAGCATTCTCTCCCGACGTTTCGCCTGCATCTATAGAAAGCTTCCTCAGAGGTTGTGAGGCCTGATTATTATTATTATTATTATTATTATTATTATTATTATTATTATTATTATTATCCTTTAATCTCAGAATTGGGTAACTCTGGTACATTTGGGGTCCAATTTTCTGTCTTTTGAAGTCTCTGGGGGTGACACAGGCAGCCATCAATGCAAAAGAATAATGGCAACTCCAGTGGTTAGAGGTGGTGGTGATTGTTTCATAGAATCAAAGAGTTGGAAGAGACCTCATGGGCCATCCAGTCCAACCTCCTGCCAAGAAACAGGAATATTGCATTCAAAGCACCCCTGACAGATGGCCATCCAGCCTCTGTTTAAAAGCTTCCAAAGAAGGAGCCTCCACCACACTCCGGGGCAGAGAGTTCCACTGCTGAACGGCTCTCACAGTCAGGAAGTTCTTCCTCATGTTCAGATGGAATCTCCTCTCTTGTAGTTTGAAGCCATTGTTCCGCGTCCTAGTCTCCAAGGAAGCAGAAAACAAGCTTGCTCCCTCCTCTCTGTGGCTTCCTCTCACATATACATGGCTATCACATCTCCTCTCAGCCTTCTCTTCTTCAAGCTAAACATGCCCAGCTCCTTAAGCCGCTCCTCATGGGGCTTGTTCTCCAGGCCCTTGATCATTTTAGTCGCCCTCCTCTGGACACATTCCAGCTTGTCAATATCTCTCTTGAATTGTGCTGCCCAGAATGGGACACAATATTCCAGGTCTGACCAAAGCGGAATAGAGGGGGAGCATGACTTCCCTAGATCTAGACACTAGGCTCCTATTGATGCAGGCCAAAATCCCATTGGCTTTTTTTGCCGCCACATCACATTGTTGGCTCATGTTTAACTTGTTGTCCACGAGAACTCCAAGATCTTTTTCACACGTACTGCTCTCGAGCCAGGCATTGTCCCCCATTCTGTAGGGCAGCAGGGAAAGGTGAGCAAGGCACATTACAGCAACTTTTATAGTAACTTTCCTCTGGGAAATGCCAGTTACAGAGATATGCCATAGAGATATGCCATAACTCTATGTCCAAGCTGCTTTGTTATTTCAATATTAGGGAGCCATGGGGATATAGTGGGTTAAACCCTTGTACTGGCTAAACTGTTGACCTGAAAACCAGAAGTCTGAATCTGCGAGATGTGGTGAGCTCCTGTCTGTCAGCCCCAGCTTCCCATGCGGTGACCTGAGAGAAGTTTTAATGGTGCAAAAGCTCCCCTGGCCACCGCCATAAAAATTATATTTCTATGAGTTGTTGTAGGTTTTTTCAGGCTGTATGGCCATGTTCTAGATCTGGGGTCCTCAAACCTTTTTAACAGAGGGCCAGGTCACAGTCCCTCAAACTGTTGGAGGGCCGGATTATAATTTGGAAAAAAAACCAAACATGAACGAATTCCTATGCACACTGCACATCTATTATTTGTAGTGTAAAAAACATTTAAAAACAATACAATAATTAAAATGAAGAACAATTTTAACAAATATAAACTCATTAGTATTTCAGTGGGAAGTGTGGGCCTGCTATTGGCTGATGAGATAGGATTGTTGTTGTGTGCTTTCAAGTCATTTCAGACTTAGGGTGACCCTGAGTGAGGGTCAAGTAATGACCTTGAAGGGCCATGTTCGGCCCCCGGGCCTTATTTTGAGGATCCCTGATGTAAGTCATAACAAACTAGGGGTAATATAGAGGCTCATTCTCTCCCTATAAGGATAATGAGACTTAGAGGAGAAGAAAAACATTTCAGAAGTACTCAAGTTAAAGGAACTCTCCTTTGGAGGACAATATGGTCATTCAGATAGATATAAATGACTTTATATAGGCAGGACAACCACCAATAAGGATGATAGGATTTAGTGAAGGACCTTCTAGAAGTTATCAAAACAAAGGCCCATCCATAAAGGACAACTTGGTCCTTTGGACCATCTGGACTCAAGACCTTTAGGATTCCAAAACACATCCAAAATGGAATGGCCCCATTATCTCCGTATGATGGGATGATGGGATTTAGTGGGAACCTTCTAGAAGTTCGCAAAACATGGGTCCGTCCATAATTTGGTCAACACATTGGTCAATGGATCCATCCTGTTGGTCAGTCCCATCTATGGTTGACCAATGGACTCAACCATTGAATGTTGAGTCAATGCATCAGTCAATGGATCCATCCCATTGCTCAGTCTCATCTATGGTTGACTTATGGACTCAACCGTCCAGTATTGGATCAATGCATTGGTCAATGGGTCCTTCCTGTTGGTTAGTCCCATTTATGGTTGACCAATGGACTCAACCATTGAGGGTTGGGTCTACTCATTGGTCAGTGGGTTCATCCTGTTGATCAGTCCCATCTATGGTTGACCAATGGACTCAACCATTGAGTGTTGAGTCAATGCATCAGTCAATGGATCCATCCCATTGCTCAGTCTCATCTATGGTTGACTTATGGACTCAACTGTCCAGTATTGGATCAATGCATTGGTCAATGGGTCCTTCCTGTTGGTCAGTCCCATTTATGGTTGACCAATGGACTCAACCATTGAGTGTTGAGTCAATGCATCAGTCAATGGATCCATCCCATTGCTCAGTCTCATCTATGGTTGACTTATGGACTCAACCGTCCAGTATTGGATCAATGCATTGGTCAATGGGTCCTTCCTGTTGGTCAGTCCCATCTATGGTTGACCAATGGACTCAACCATTGAGTGTTGAGTCAATGCATCAGTCAATGGATCCATCCCATTGCTCAGTCTCATCTGTGGTTGACTTATGGACTCAACCGTCCAGTATTGAATCAATGCATTGGTCAATGGGTCCTTCCTGTTGGTCAGTCCCATCTATGGTTGACCAATGGACTCAACCATTGAGTGTTGAGTTAATGCATCAGTCAATGGATCCATTCCATTGCTCAGTCTCATCTATGGTTGATCAATGGACTCAACCATTGAGTGTTGGGTCAATGGATTGGGTCAACACCATTTAGTCTGTGGGCCAAAGTATTAAATATGAGGACCCCTGTTCTAGAGGCATTCTCTCCTGACGTTTCGCCTGCATCTATGTTAGACATCCTCAGAGATTGTGAAGTCTGTATTTTATTTGTCTTTTTTATCCTTTTGTATTTTATTTTATTAGAACATTATTTGTATGTCAATGATCTTATGTTATTATTTTACTTGTATAATATTGTTACATTAGTTTGTTTGTATTTTTATTATTTTATTTCTCGCATTATCATCATCATCATTATTATTATATTATATTATTTATGTTTTTATTGTATCATTTTACTTTCGTTTTTATTTTGGGCCATATTGTTTTATTTCTATTTCCGATTTGATTGTATTCCTGTGTCTTTTATTTGCATTTTGTATTTTATTTTAATTTTTGCATTATTATTATTATTTTATTATTTTTAAGGTAATTATATTATTATATTATTTTGTTTGTATTCTAGTATGGCGCCCCGCTTCCTGCCTGATTTCCTGCAGGCGCCGCTCCAACGCTTCCGCCGGGTTTCCGCCCTCTTTCTCCCGCTTCCGGTTTCTCTTCCGTCGCTTTTCCGCCCGCTGCCAGCCCGACTCGGCCTCCATTGAAGGGATGTTGCAAAAAAGATTGTCCCTCCGCGGAAGCCGTAGGCAAAATGCCCGGAATGGACATAGAGAATGGACATAGAGAACAAGCAAGAAAGAAGAACAACAACACTTCCGGTCGTCGCGCCACCACTTCCCACCTCCATTAGAGTGACAAAAAGGAAAGGTGTCCAATGGGAATAGGAAGAAGGAGAGGGAGAGGGAGAAGATAAGATAATAATAATAATAATAATAATAATAATATAATAATAATAATAATTATTATTATTACTATTATTATTATTTTGTGAAATATTAATAACAATGTATTGTCAAAGGCTTTCATGGCTGGAATCACTAAGTTCTTGTGGGGTTTTTTGGGCTATAGGGCCATGTTCTAGAGGCATTCTCTCCTGACGTTTCACCTGCATCTATGGCAAGCATCCTCAGAGGTAGTGAGGTCTGTTGGAACTGGGGGAAAGGGTTTATATATCTGTGGATTGACCAGGGTGGGACAAAGGACTCTTGTCTGCTGGAGCTAGGTGTGAATCTTTCAACTGACCACCTTGATTAGCATACAATGGACTGACTGTGCCTGGAGCAAATTCTTCTTGAAAGGTGATTAGATGTCCCTAGAATCTTAGAATCATAGAATCATAGAGTTGGAAGAGACCTCATGTGCCATCCAGTCCAACCCCATTCTGCCAAGAAGCAGGAATATTGCATTCAAATCACCCCTGACAGATGGCCACCCAGCCCCTGTTTAAAAGCTTCCAAAGAAGGAGCCTCCACCACACTCCGGGGCAGAGAGTTCCACTGCTGAACAGCTCTCACAGTCAGGAAGTTCTTCCTCCTGTTCAGATGGAATCTCCTTTCTTGTAGTTTGAAGCCATTGTTCCGCGTCCTAGTCTCCATGGAAGCAGAAAACAAGCTTGCTCCCTCCTCCCTGTGACTTCCTCTCACATATTTATACATGGCTATCATATCCCCTCTCAGCCTTCTCTTCTTCAGACTAAACATGCCCAGCTCCTTTAGCCGCTCCTCATAGGGCTTGTTCTCCAGACCTTTTATCCCTGCCTGTTTCCTCTCTGTTGTTTTTGCTGTTGCAATTTTAGAGTTTTTTAATACTGGTAGCCAGATTTTGTTCATTTTCATGGTCTCTTCCTTTCTGTTGAAATTGTCCACATGCTTGTGGATTTCAATGGCTTCTCTGTGTAGTCTGACATGGTGGTTGTGAGAGTGGTCCAGCATTTCTGTGTTCTCAAATAATATGCTGTGTCCAGGCTGGTTCAGCTATGGCTGACTTCTCTGGTTGAAGTAGTCTGCAGTGCCTTTCATGTTCCTTGATTCGTGTTTGGGCAATGCTGCGTTTGGTGGTCCCTATGTAGACTTGTCCACAGCTGCATGGTTCACCTCTGCAGGAGTCTACCGTGTACCATGCAGCTGTGGACAAGTCTACATAGGGACCACAAAACGCAGCGCCCAGACACGCATCAAGGAACATGAAAGGCACTGCAAACTACTAGGAGCTAGGTGTGAATGTTTCAACTGACCACCTTCATTAGCATTTGAGGGCCTGGCTGAGCCTGGGGAAATCTTTTGTTGAGAGGTGTTAAGATGTGCCTGGTTGTTTCCTCTCAGCCAGGCCTTCAAATGCTAATGAAGGTGGTCAGTTGAAACATTCACACCTAGCTCCAGCAGGGAAGAGCTCTTTGTCCCACCCCAGCCATTCCACAGATATATAAACCCATTGTCCTAATTCCAACAGACCTCACTACCTCTGAGGATGCTTGCCACAGATGCAGGCGAAACGTCAGGAGAAAATGCCTCTAGAACATGGCCCTATAGCCCGAAAAAACCCACAAGAACCCAATTGATACTTTATTGAGGGATTAGTTACAATGTTAGGAAGGGGAAGAAAGCGATGTAATAAGAAGGCTTTTGGGTTGCTGCTGCTGTGGCCACATTCATGTAGGTTGGCCCAAGTGGGGAAATAGAGAACTGAGGAACTTCCTGCTGCAGGTCAGATCAGCTTGAAGGCAGGGAGTTCTGAGTTCGACCTCATTGGGATCATTCCAACCTGGTATCCTTGGTAAAACTATTAATTCCTTGGTTTTGAACTATCTTTTACAGAGTCCTGGGGCGGGGGGGCGGGGGGGCGGGTTAACCTCCAATATCATGGAGACATCACACTGACAATGAAGATACACATAGTCAAAGCAATGGCATTCCCTGTAGTCACCTATGGATGTGAGAGCTGGACCTTAGGGAAGGCTGAGTGAAGGAAGATCGATGCTTTTGAGCTGTGGTGTTGGAGGAAAGTTCTGAGAGTGCCTTGGACTGCGAGAAGATCCAACCAGTCCATCCTCCAGGAAATAAAGCCTGACTGCTCACTGGAGGGAAGGATACTAGAGACAAAGTTGAAGTACTTTGGCCACATCATGAGGAGACAGCAAAGCCTAGAGAAGACAATTATGCTGGGGAAAGTGGAAGGCAAAAGGAAGAGGGATGCCGACCAAGGGCAAGATGGATGGATGGCATCCTTGAAGTGACTGGACTGACCTTGAAGGAGCTGGGGGTGGTGACGGCCGACAGGGAGCTCTGGCGTGGGCTGGTCCATGAGGTCACAGAGAGTCGGAGACGACTGAATGAATGAACAACAACATAATAATGAAAAATAATAACATAAGAAATAAAAGTAAAATATAAAAATTATAAAAATATGACTAAACTATCATAATATATAACAAGAAAAATACTAATGTAATATAATAATAATCAAATATAATTATAAGACTAAAATATAATAATAACCTTGAAGGAGCTGGGGGTGGTGACGGCCGACAGGGACCTCTGGCGTGGGCTGGTCCATGAGGTCACGAAGAGACGGAGACAACGGAAAGAATGAACAACAGTAATAAAACTTAATAATAAAATATAATTATAGGACTAAAATATAATCATAATATAATCATAAATTATAAAATAAAATACTGAAGAAAAGGAAAATAAACATGTAATATAAGGTAAAGGTAAAGGTAGTCCCCTGACATTAAGTCCAGTCATGTCTGACTCTGGGGTGTGGTGCTCATCTCCATTTCTAAGCCGAAGAGCCAGCGTTGTCCATAGACACCTCCAAGGTCATGTGGCTGGCATGACCGCTTGGAGTGCCTTCCCGCCGGAGCAGTACCTATGGATCTACTCACATTTGCATGTTTTCGAACTGCTAGGTTGGCAGAAGCTAGGGCTGACAGCGGAAGCTCACGCCGCTCCCCGGAATCGAACCTGCGACCTTTCGATCAACAAGCTCAGCAGCTCAGTGCTTTAACCCACTGCGACACGGGGGCTCCAAACATGTAATATAGCTAATCTATATATATAAATCTGTTAGGTTGGTTCAACCGGACAGCAAAACTCCACAACCCCCCAACGAAACTGTACCAAAATTGCCATGCCCATAACACAACCCACAAGGTACAAACATATCTACTCAAAATGAAAAACAACACAACAACACACTCACAAAACGGCAAAACAACAAAACTCAAAAAAACCAACGAAACTTAACCAAAATTCCCATGCCCATAACACAACCCACAAGGTACAAACATATCTACTCAAAATGAAAAACAACACAACAACACACTCACAAAACGGCAAAACAACTGAGCATGCGCATTGGTGCCCAGCCGCAAGTTCCCTGGCGCGCGCACACAGTCTTCCGGCCAACGTTCCCTCTGCGGAAGCCATGCCCACTCCAAGCCCCGCCGCGCCGCTTCCCGCACACACACACACCCTGCCGCACGCACACACACAACCCCACGCTCCATCACCCCCCCCCGCCGCGCACACACACAACCCCACGCTCCATCACCCGCACACACACACGCAACCCCACGCTCCATCACTCCCCCCCCCGCCGCACACACACACGCAACCCCACGCTCCATCACTCCCCCCGCCGCCGCACACACACACGCAACCCCACGCTCCATCACTCCCCCCGCCGCCGCACACACACACACAACCCCACGCTCCATCACTCCCCTGCCCCAATCTTACCTCCTTTTACTTCACGCCACCTCCAAACCCCACCCCGCCCCTTCCCGCCCTGTCAAAATCCAGGAAAGACAGGAAGGAAGGAAAGAAGGAAGAAAGAGAAAGGGAGGTAAAGAAAAAGGGGGAAGGAAGGAAAGTTAGAGAAAGAAGGAAAAAGAAAAGGAAAGATGGAAGGAAAGAAAAGAGAGACAGCAGAAAAGAAAGAAAAAGGGGGAAGGAAGGAAAGAGATAGAGAAAGAAGAGGAGAAGGAAAGATGGGAAGGAAGGAAGAAAAAGGAAAGAAAAAAAGGAGGGAAGATGTAGAGAAAGAGGGAGGGAAGGAAAGAAGGAAAGAGAGAAGGAAGAAAAGAGACCAGAAGAGAAAGAAAAAGGGGAAGGAAGGAAAGAGATAGAGAAGGAAGAGGAGAAGGAAAGATGGGAGGGAAGGAAGGAAGGAGGGAAAGAAGGAGAGAAAGAGGGAAGGTTGGCCACAGCAACGCGTGGCGGGTAAAGGTTGTTATTTCTATGATTATTATGATGCTATTATTCCTATGAGACCCTTTTAGGGGGAATGGGAGAGGTGTCAGGTCCCAGAGGCAATGCATTGCATTATTGTTATTGTTATGATGGTGGTGAAATAAAAGGAAATAAAAAGTGAAAGAAGGAAGCAAACAGGGAGGGAAGAAAGGCAAAGGAAGAAAGGGGGAGGGAATGAAGGAAAGAGAGAAGGATGAAACCAAGTAGTGAAAGAAAGAAAGAAAGAAAGAAAGAAAGAAAGAAAGAGGTAGAGAAGGAAGAAAGGAGAGAAAGGGGGAGGAAAAGGGGGAAGGAATAGGTAGGTACCTCTCTTTCATAATAGTCCAGATATCTACCTCAACTTTGATAAGTTTTACTATAGGCCACAGCAACGCGTGGCAGGGCACAGCTAGTTTTTTATAATAATAATAATTTTTAAAATTAAATTATTATTATTTTATTTTTATATTACTAGTAATATATTTATACTACCAATATAAAAATATAATAATTATAATATAAGAATAAAATACTGAACTGAAATAATAATTTTAATACAATATATATGTCATAATGCAATAATGATTCAAACACATATCCAAAGGGACTCCGGAAGTGTTGCTCGTCTTGGAGCTTGACATTTTGTCCAACCTCTTGAGCGTGGAGTGACGTCACTCTAACCACGCCCTTTCGCGTCTCGCGTTTCAGGCTTGGTCTTTCAATGGCAGCGGCGCTCCGCCTTCTCTCTGACGTCACTCACTCGCCTACCGCGCATGTGTGAAAGGGAAGAACCCGGAAGTGGAGCTTTTTAGGCTTCAGAAATTAATGGCTTCTTCTGAATCATCACCAAATGCCTGGTAAAATTATATATAATATACTTTATTATATTTTATATTTTATTTTCGTGTAATATCTTATTCATATGATATGGTAAATATATTTTATTGTAGTTTATTATGTTTTATATTTAATACATTTGATATTTAATATATTGAATATCATATTTTATTTATTTTTATTCATATTATATTTTGAATATATTTGGTATTTAATATATTTTATAATATAATATAGAATATAATATGAAATATAAAATATATTAAATACCAAATATATTCAAAATATAATATGAATAAAATAAATACAATTTTAAATGTATATTAAATATATATTTAAAATATATAATATTTATTAATATATTTTATTATATTTTAAATTTTCATGTAATATTTTATTCATATTTAAATATATTTTATTATATTTTATTTTTAATTTCATGTAATATTGTATTCATATTATTTTGAATCTATTTTATATATAATTCATATTTAATATATTTAATATATTTCATATTTAATACATTTTATATTGTATTCCATGTAATATTTTATTCATATTATATTTGAATATATTTATTTTATATTTATATTTTATTCATATTATATATACATTATATTTTATATTCATTATATTTTATATTTAATTTCCATGTAATATTTTATTCATATTTTTGAATATATTATATATTTTATATGTTATTCTCCTGTAATATATTAATCATATTATATATATATTATATTTAATGTAGTTAATAATATATTTTAATGTAATATTTTATTCATATTTTTGTATTTAATATATTTAATATATTTTATATTTTATTTTCATGTTTATTATAGTTTATGCATTGTATTATGCATTGTTTTATATTGTAAATATTTAAAATATTTTTTTATTTTACATTATTTTATTTTTATATTATTTATTTATTTATATATATTTTTATATATTTTATTTATATTATGTTACATACTGTTTTATATTTTAAATATTTAAATTTATTTTATGTAGTAATTTTACCAAACCAAACAACAAGGCTTGATAAGACTGGATTGCCCTCTATTTAGTAAGTTAAGTTAAGGAAGAACTTCTTGACTGTGAGAGCCGTTCAGCAGTGGAATTCTCTGCCCCGGAGTGTGGTGGAGGCTCCTTCTTTGGAAGCTTTTAAACAGAGGCTGGATGGCCATCTGTCAGGGGTGATTTGAATGCGATATTCCTGCTTCTTGGCAGGGGGTTGGACTGGATGGCCCATGAGGTCTCTTCCAACTCTTTGATTCTATGATTCTATTATTAAGACACTCATAACAATACAATAAATAAATATGATAAGATATGATAAAACTGAGTATATACATCCTATTTTCAATATAAATATACCTTTCAAATTGCAAACTATCAAAAAATTCAAATACCAAACAATTTTAGGGAGGTATTCACTCAAGTTAGATTTGATCAGCTTGATGGAATGGTCAGATATGGGAGATTGAACAGCATAATGAACGGATTTGTATCTACGGAGCACCTGAAACTGAGGATGTAATACACATACGATTTGATTGTAAATTGTATTAGAAGGTGAGAGACTTCTATCTTGGTTCATATATCAAATGTATTAGGAATCAGGACAACATATTTTATGTATTGCTTTATATTTTATACATTGTATTTTCTTTAAAAATATTTAATTGACATCATTTCATGCATAGTTTTATATCTTAATGTTTTATTCATCATGTTATGTACTATTTTTATTTTACATTTTTTTTATTTTTAAGAACATTTTATTTTTCTGAATATATTTTGTGCTATTTTCTATTTTAAAACATGTTATCTTTCACATTTTTATTTTATTTTGAAAAAGTTATTTTTCACGTTTATTTTATTTATTTTAAAACTATATTTTTCCTAAGATATTTTGTACTATTTTATATTTTAAAGATTTTAATTTTCACATTTTATTATTTATTTTACATTAAAACATTTTATTTACTTTTACTATTTTAAATATTTTAAATATTTTAATTTATTTTAAAACTATTTCATTTGTTTTTCTATTTTATTATGTACTAATTTATATTTTAAAGATTTTGTTTTTTGTTTTGTTTTATATTTAATAAGTTTATTATTATTATTAATTATTAATTTATTAGGTGGCATTGCTTCTTCCTTTATGATGGATCCAAAGTCAAAGAAGAAGGAGATCCAACCAGAGCTGGAATTTGCTATTTTCATCCTAAAGAGGTTTGTATTATTATTATTATTATTGTATTGTCGAAGGCTTTCATGGCCGGAATAACTGGGTTGTTGTAGGTTTTTTCGGGCTATATGACCATGGTCTAGAGGCATTCTCTCCTGACGTTTCGCCTGCATCTATGGCAAGCATCCTCATAGGTAGTGACCTCACTACCTCTGAGGATGCTTGCCATAGATGCAGGCGAAACATCAGGAGAGAATGCCTCTAGACCATGGCCATATAGCCCGAAAAAACCTACAACAACCCATTATTATTATTATTATTATTATTATTATTATTATTATTATTATTATGTGTGTATGTGGCTGGGGTGTCCAATTACACAGACAGGCTCCTGCCAAACAGCTATAGTCCCCACCACTCTGGAGACACCAAAGGCCCTCCCTCCAATGACATTGCAGGTTATAGTGAGCGTCATGAAGATGTCCAAGGTCAATCCCCTCACCCCCCTAAACTTCTTGCTGATCAATTCCTGTTTGCTGTGTGCCATAGGAAAGGGTAGGAAAGGGTTTGTTTATTTTATTCATTTATTGTGTCAGGAGCAACCAGACAGTTTTAAACAAAACAAACAAACAGACAGACAAAATACAAAGTTTGCAAGCTTGGTAGTTGATTAAATGTCCTTTGACCAGTATCTGGCCACTTGGAGTGCCTCTGGTGTTGCTGCAAGAAGGTCCTCCATTGTGCATGTGGCAGGGCTCAGGTTGCATTGCAGCAGGTGGTCTGTGGTTTGCTCTCTCCACACTCGCATGTCGAGGATTCCACTTTGTAGCCCCATTTCTGAAGGTTGGCTCTGCATCTTGTGGTGCCAGAGCAGTCTGTTCAGCGCCTTCCAAGTCGCCCAGTCCTCTGTGTGCCCAGGGGGGAGTCTCTGATTTGGTATCAGCCATTGGTTGAGGTTCTGGGTTTGAGCCTGCCACTTTTGGACTCTCGCTTGCTAGGGTGTTCCAGCGAGTGTCTCTGTAGATCTTAGAAAACTATTTCTAGATTTAAGTTCGTTGACGTGCTGGCTGATACCCAAACAGGGATGAGCTGGAGATGTCTCTGCCTTGGTCCTTTCACTATTGGCTGCTACTTCCCGGCGGATGTCAGGTGGTGCAATACCGGCTAGACAGTGTAATTTCTCCAGTGGTGTAGGGCGCAGACACCCCGTTATAATGCGGCATGTCTCATTAAGAGCCACATCCACTGTTTTAGTGTGGTGAGATGTGTTCCACACTGGGCATGCGTACTCAGCAGCAGAGAAGCATAGCGCAAGGGCAGATGTCTTCACTGTGTCTGGTTGTGATCCCCAGGTTGTGCCAGTCAGCTTTCGTATGATATTGTTTCTAGCACCCACTTTTTGCTTGATATTCAGGCAGTGCTCCTTGTAGGTGAGGGCATGGTCCAGAGTGACGGGTACTTGGGTGCGCTGCAATGCTCCAGTGGGATTCCTTCCCAGGTGATCTTCAGAGCTCGGGATGCTTCTCTGTTCTTGAGATGAAAGGCACATGTCTGTGTTTTAGATGGATTAGGGATCAGCTGGTTTTCCCTGTAATAGGAAGTAAGAGCACCTAGAGCTTCGGAGAGCTTCTTTTCAACCATCTCAAAGCTCCCTGCTTGAGCGGTAATGGCACGATCATCAGCATAGATGAAACTCTCTGTCCCTTCTGGCAGTGGCTGGTCATTTGTGTAGATGTTGAACATGGATGGAGCAAGCACGCTCCCCTGAGGCAGGCCGTTCTTCTGTTTCCGCCATCTGCTTCTCTGGCCCTGGAACTCAACAAAAAAGCTCCTGTTTTGTAGCAGGTTTCCTAAGAGGCGGGTGAGATGGTAGTCCTTTGTGATATTATACATTTTTCTCAGGAGGAGGCGGTGGTTTACGGGATCATAGGCTGCTGACAGGTCTATGAAGACAGCTCCTGTGATCTGCTGCCTTTCAAAGACAGGAAAGGGTTAAGGGGGAAGCAGTGGGCGGGGTCATCCAAATTCCACACCAATGGAGAGAGAGAAAGGAACCCTGGGATGTCCATTTCTGGAGCAAAAACAGAACATCTAGGATGAAATGGTCCCTGACTTAAAGTCTTCCCTTGGGTGTTGGGCATTGTGGTGTTTGTGGAGGACATTGGCAGGGCTCTTGGACATGTTCATAGCGCTCACTATAACCTGCAATCTCATTGGAGGGAGGGCCTTTGGTATCACCTGATGAGACCTATAGCCGTTTGTGGAGGCAGGAGCTTGTCTGTGTGAGTGGACACCTCCGCCGCATACACACCTAACATTTACACTTTTATTATGAGTATAGATGGAATATAGATAAGAGATATATTGTATTATATCATATTATATCTATATATATAAAAATGCTCTGTGCATAAAAACAAAAGAACCAATGAACGAAATCACACCAAATTTGGCAACAAAACATCTCACAACACAAGGAGTGACCATCATTCAAAAAATTATGATTTTGTCATTTGGAAGTTGTAGTTGCTGGGATTTATAGTTCACCTACAATCAAAAAGCATTCTGAACTCCACCGTTTATGGAATTGAACTGCACTTGGCACACAGGACTTCCAAGACCAACTCATTGACCTTGAGTTTGGGAGTTGTAGTTCACTACATGCAGAGAGCACTTCGGACTCAAAACAATGATGGATCTGGACCAAACTTGGCACGAATATTCCATATGCCCAAATATGAACTCAGATGGAGTTTGGGGAAAATAGACCTTGCCATTTGGAAGTTGTAGTTACTGAGATTTATAGTTCACCAACATTCAAAGACCATTCTGAATGAACACCATGAATGACAGAACTGGGGCAAACTTCCCACACAGAACCCCCATGACCAACAGAAAATACTTAAGGCCATCCAGTCCAACTCTCTTCACCAGGGCAAGAAAATGTAATCAAAGCCCTCCTGACAAAGAGCCATCCAGTCATAAATATAGATAGATAGATATGATTCTCTCTCACACACACAGATATAGTATCACAGATTTGAAAGAGACCCTTAAAGAAGGACTAGGATATGTTGCATGTTCCAGAGTAGGCAAACCAGACACTCTCCACATCAACACTGACAAAGAAACAACAAGAAATACTGTTTACTCACAAGCATAAAGGAATTACATATATTAGAAACCAACACTTTCTCATTACTTTATTTTCCAGATCACCAGGCTGGGCCACAGCAACGCGTGGCAGGGGATAGCTAGTTACATTATATTATTCTATTCTATTATTCTATTCTATTCTTCTATAGACTCCAATGGAGCGGCAGGAGCTGTTGTGCGGCCAGCTTGCTGGAATGTTGCGCTGCGTCTCGGAAATTTCTGGTTCGGCTCCGGACCTGATCCGCTTCCGGAAGCTGAAATTCTCCATTGGCACCCATGGGGAATTCCTCTGGGTTCTAGGCTGCGAAGCTGGAACCCCGGACTCTGCTTGCAAGCAGCTCCAGCGCAACTTGATGGGGATTTTCCACTTTTATCATGGGACCCTGCAAAAGGCGTATGCAGTCAGTGAAATAGATTATTATGTTATATTATTATATATTTCATATTGTTATGATAATGTATTATTATATTATATATTTTATATTTCAATGTATTGGTATGTTATTATTACTATTATATTATTATGATAACGTCTTATTATATATATTATATTATATATATTATGTTATATTCTTTTATATATAATAGAATAAAAGAATAATTTTAAATATATAATATAGTAATATAATAGTAATAATATATATAATATAATACTGTTATGATAATATAATGTATTATTATATTATATATATTTAAATTATTCTTTATTATATTGTTATTACTATATTATTATTATGTAATATAGTACATATTATGTTATGATAGTATTATAATATATTTTATATTATTATAATATATTTATTTATTTACTTATTTACTTACAACATTTATATGCCGCCCTTCTCACCCCAAAGGGGACTCAGAGCGGCTTACAAGATATATATACATACAATATATTATGTTATTAGCATAGTACAATATCAGTATTAATTATTACTATGTTGTACTATACCATTATATTGTAATATTATTAGTAATATTATATGTAATATAAATATATAATAATATCATATTACTATTATATATTATGTTATATCATGTATTTTATATTGTATATTGTATTATTAATACTGTTTTATTATTGTAATGTATACTATTATGATATTAAATGAATTACAAATATTATATTATATATATTACATTATATTGCTTTAATTACAATTATAATTATATTATATAAATTACAAATGGAACCATGTTATATACATTTTATTTATTTTATTTTATATTTCTCAGGTCCATTCGAAGGAGGAATTGGGCTGCAAATGGGAGAAATACATAGAGTATCTCCTGCGCAACACCAGTGACCTACACCGCATCTTCAACTCCTTGTGGGCCTTGGACAAAACAAAAGTGCATACATATATATATATATATATACATTATATAAGTTAGAGTATGAAGAATAATGTGGGCTATGTTTGGTCCAGATTGGTCCAACCGTGGAGGACTCTTTGCGGAACAAACAAACAAACAGATGGCAATTAGGAATATTTTTGCAATATTTTTCCTGAATATTTTTCGGAATATTTCTACAAGATTTTTTCGTGAATATTTTTGCACTATTTTTCCCAAATATATTCACAACATTTTCCCCAAATATTTTTGCAATAATTGTTCAGAATATTTTTGCACTATTTTTTAAGGATAGTTTTGCAGTATGGGCCTTCTACAAAACTTATATAAGCATATATGTATATTTAATTTAGATTATGATGAAAAATTGGCCTAGATCCACCCAACAACAGAGGAGATTTTGTGGAACAAAAAAACTAAACAAACAGATGCCCATTTGGCAGACTACAAATACCATCATCTCCTATCAAGTTGGACAGTAATTTAAGTTGAATTGCGACTAATATAGTAGTCTACATTTGGTCCTGATCCATTGAACTATATAGGAGGTTTTATGGTACAAACAAGCAAACAAGCTCACATACTGCTCTATGTTGCCCTCTTGTGACTGCATGCAAATATATTTCAATTTATTCATTTCAGGACACTGTTCCTAAACAGTAATGGTTATCAACTTGGGACCTTGGAATTTGGAGAATAATTTGAAGAATATGTGTTTCCAATCCGTCCAAAAATATAGCAGATTTTTAGGGATTTTTAGGGACAAACAAACAATCAAATTTATATATAAGGACCGTCTAGATGATCTCTTTGTGACCTCCATTTCTTTAGGTTGAACCCCTTTTGTTGTTGAAGGCAGCCCTTATTTTGCAAAGTTGCCAAAGGGTCACTCACGTTCTGGGCGGTTGCATCCTCTTCCACGGCCAGTAAGTATAAATTATAAAATTATATTATATTATGTTATGTTATATTATATTATATTGTACAATATTATATTATTACTAGTGGTCCCCTGCCACGCGTTGCTGTGGCCCAGTCTGGTGATATGGAAAATAAATTAATTAGAAAGTACTGGTTTCTAATATATGTAATGTCTTTATGCTTGTGGGTAAACAGTATTTCTTGATGTTTCTTTGTCAGTGTTGATGTGGAGATTGTCTGGTTTGCCCACCCTGGAACATGCAACATATCATTGTCCATCTTTAGGAGTCCCTTTCAAATATAGGATACTTTATCTGTGTGTGTGAGAATCATATATATCTATCTATATCTATGGCAGGATGGCTCTCTGTCAGGAGGGCTTTGATTACGTTTTCTTGCCCTGGTGAAGGGGGTTGGACTGGATGGCCTTAAATATTTTCTGTTGGTTGTGGGTGTTCTGTGTGGGAGGTTTGACCCAATTCTGTCATTCGTGGGGTTCAGAATGGTCTTCAATTGTAGGTGAACTATAAATCCCAGTAACAACAACTCCCAAATGCCAAGGTCTATTTCCCCCAAACTCCATCTGTGTCCATATTTGCGCATATGGAATATTCGTGCCAAGTTTGGTCCAGATCCATCATTGTTTGAGTCCACAGTGCTCTCTGAATGTAGGTGAACTACAACTGCCAAACTCAAGGTCAATGCCCACCAAACGCTGCTATTATTTTCTGTTGGTCATGGGAGTTCTGTGTGCCAAGTTTGGTTCCATTCCATCAGTGGTGGAGTTCAGAATGCTCTTTGATTGTAGATGAACTGTGAATCCCAGTGACTACAACTCCCAAATGTCAAGGTCTATTTCCCCCAAACTCCATCTGTGTTCATATTTGAGCATATTGAGTGCTTGTGCCAAGTTTGGTCCAGATCCATCATTGTTTGAGTCCACAGTGCTCTCTGGATGTGGGCGAACTACAATTCCCAAACTCAAGGTCAATGTCCACCAAACCCTTCCAGTTTTTTCTGTTGGTCATGGGAGCCCTGTGTGCTAAGTTTGGCCCAATTCCATCATTGGTGGAGTTCAGAATGCTCTTTGATTGTAGGTGAATTATAAATCCTAGCAACTACAACTCCCAAATGACAAAATCATAATTTTTTGAGTGATGGTCACTCCTTGTGTTGGGAGACGTTTTGTTGCCAAATTTGGTGTGATTTCGTTCATTGGTTCTTTTGTTTTTAAGGTACTCATTATGCACAGAGCATTTTTATATATATATAGATTATTATATATGGTATATTATTATTATAAAATGATATATTTTATATATTTATAATATTATCTTATATATTTCATATCTTACACCATTGTATATTTTAATTATATATTATTATAATACCATTTTATCATATTATTTATTGTATATTATTATACAATATAATAATATATAATTATTATATAATTATATATTTTATATATTTATAATATATTGGGTCCCCAGCATTGCCCGGGTTATTTGAAAAAGTCATTTTTATTTTACAATATGCATAAGGTTGCGAGTGAACTACAATTCACATCATGCCAGGTTAACCTCCTGAAACTCCACCAGTGCTTAAAGTCTGTCATGTTGGGTTCTCTACATAAATCATCGATGGGTTCCGTGTAGTCTTTGGCTTCAGGGTGAACACCCACCATGGTGGGTCATTTCCCCCCAAACCCCTCTAGTAGTGTTCAGTTAGTCGTGGGGGTTTTGTGTGCCAAGTGTGATCCAGGTCCGTTACTTGTGGGGGTCGCAGTGGTTTCTGGAAGTGAGTGAAGATACTGTAAATCCCGTCATCCATGGCGAGTGTGGTCCAGATCCATCATTGGTTAGGTACACAATGTAGGTCAGTGGTTCTCCACCTTCCTAATGCCGCGACCCCTTAATACAGTGGTTCTCAACCCTAATGACCCCTTAATACAATCCCTCATGTGGTGGTGACCCCCAACCATGACATTGTTTTCGTTGCTACTTCATAACAGTCATTTTCCTACTGTTATAAATCATAATGTAAATAATGTAAATGTAAACAACAACAACAATATGCAAGACGTATTTTCATTCACTGGACCAAACTGGGCACAAATACCCAATACACCCAAATGTGAATACTAGTGGGGTTGGGAGACGACTGATTTTGTAATTTGGGAGTTGTAGTTGCTGGGATTTATAGTTCACTTATAATCAAAGAGCATTCTGAACTCCACCAGCGATGGATTTGAACCAAATGTGGCTCCCATGACCAATGGAAAACACTGGAAGGGTTTGATGGGCATTGACCTTGAGTTTGGGAGTTGTAGTTCACCTATATCCAGAGAGCACTGTGGACTCATGCAATGGTGGATCTGGACCAAACTTGGCACAAATACGCAATATGCCCAAATGTGAACACTGGTGGAGTTTGGGGAGAATAGACCTTGACATTTGGGAGTTGTCGTTGCTGGGATTTATAGTTCATTACAATCAAAGAATATTCTGAACTCCACCAATGATAGAATTGGCTCAAACTTCCCACATGGAATCCCCATGAGCATCAGAAAATACTTGTTTTCTTATGGTCTTTGGTGACCCCTCTGACACCCCCTTGCGACCCCCGCAGGGGTCCCGACCCCCAGGTTGAGAAACACTGATGTAGGTGAATGACAACTCTAAATGAAGGTCAATTCCACCCAAACCTGGTTATGGGGGTTCTGTGTGCCAAATATGGTCCAGGTCTGTTGTCAGTGGGGGTCACAGTGCTGTCTTGATGCAGGGTGAACTACAACTTCCATCCTGTTGAGTCAGTCTCCCAATCCTCTCTAGTATGTTCAATTGCTGATCAATAGCGTAAGAAAGGGTTAAGGGAGAAGCAGTGGGCGGGTTTGTGCAAATTCCACACCAACGGAGAGAGAAAGGAACACTGGGATGCAGTGCTCACCATAACCTGCAATGTTCTTAGTGGCTCCTCAGCCCTCGGAGTTGAAGCTGTTTGTGGAGGCTGTCTCTGTAAATGGACACCTGTGCCACATAAACACATACAGATTTTCACTTTTATTATGTGTATAGATATACTATTATATTTTATACTAGCTGTCCCCTGCCACACGTTGCTGTGGCCCACATGGGGGTTTTGTGTGGGAGGTTTGGCCCAGTTCTATCATTGGTGGGGTTCAGAATGCTCTTTGAACTATAAATCCCAGCAACTACAACTCCCAGATGTCAAGATTCTATTTTCCCCCAACTCCACCAGTGTTCACATTTGGGCATATTGAGTATTCATGTGGAATGTGGTCCAGGTCCATTATTGTTTGAGTCCACAGTGCTCTCTGGATGTAGGTGAACTACAACTCCCAAACTCCCAAACTCAAGGTCAATGCCCACCAAACCCTTTCAGTATTTTCTGTTGGTCATGGGAGAACTGTGTGCCAAGTTTGGTTCAATTCCATCGTTGGTGGGGTTCAGAATGCTCTTTGATTATAGGTGAATTATAAATCCCAGCAACTACAACTCCCAAATGTCAAGGTCTATTTTCCCCAAACTCCACCAGTGTTCACATTTGGGCATATTGAGTATTCATGTGGAGTTTGGTCCAGATCCATCATTGTTTGAGTCCACAGTGCTCTCTGGATGTAGGTGAACTACAACTCCCAAACTCAAGGTCAATGCCCACCAAACCCTTCCAGTATTTTCTCTTGGTCGTGAGAGTCCTGTGTGCCACGTTTGGTTCAATTTCATCATTGGTGGGGTTCAGAATGCTCTTTGATTGTAGGTGAACTATAAATCCCAGCAACTACAACTCCCAAATGACAAAATCAATTTTTTTTGAGTGAAGAACATACATTGGGTTGTTAGGTGTCTTGTGTCCAAATTTGGTGTCAATTCGTCCAGTGGTTTTTGAGTTCTGTTAATCCCACAAACGAACATTACATTTTTATTTATATAGATATTACACAATTATATATTTTACTTATATTATTTTATATTATATATTGTTTTATATTATTAATATTAATATTATAATTGTATCACAGTAATAATTAATAATATTTTACTATTGAAAAATAGACTTTACATAATATTATTTTATTTTTATAAAGGAAAAATATTAAATTGCAGAAATAAATCACAATAAAATAATATTATGTAAAGTCTATTTTTCAATATTATTATATTTTTATAAAGGAAATATATTAAATTGCAGAAATAAATCACAATAAAATAATAATATTTTATAAATATTTGTAATAAGACTTGATTTTATTATTTCTTCCAGGGTCGTCAGCACTCAACTTCCTCCTGACCTCACCGCAAAGGTCATGATCCAGGAAGCGGAAATACAGGAAGGTGAGCAAATTAGCATAAAATTATCATTAAAATTAGCATTAAATTAGCATAATATATTCACGGATAATTATTATAACCTTTTCCTAGGTCAGTTGCCTCCAGGTGTCCAGATGCTTCCTGTTTTCCTCTCCAAACAGGAAGTGGCCTCCCTCCGCGACTTCCCCCTCGAATGGACTTCCGGGTGAGGCAGGAAGTTACCTCATACTGATATTATTTATATAGTTTATATTATTTTATTGCTAATTTATTTTATGTTTACTCATGTTATAGTGTATTCCTTTATATTTATTACCATATATTTTATTTTATTTTCCGTGTTTGTAATAATATAAAAATATAATACAATATAATAATAGTATTATGCAATAATATAGTAATGTGGTGTGTGTATGTGGTAACTTTCTGATTGACTACCACTTCCATAGGCCACTGTGACCCCCACGATTAACGGATCTGGACCAAACTTGGCCGTACCTTCAGTCACTTTCTGAGGCCACTGCGACCCTCAGACAATGAAGACTAAACTTGGCACACAGAGCTCCCATGACCCACTCTGTATTGTGGTGCAGTTTCAAGGAGGACAGACCACGAATGATGGGACTTGCAGTACCTTCACCCACTTCCTGAGACCACTGCGACCCTCAACAATGACGGATCAAGATCGAACTTGGCAGCCCCCATAACCCACTCTACATACTGGTGTGGTTTGGAAGACTTTGGACCATGGATGATGGGAATTGCAGTTTTTTCACTCACTTCTTGAGACCATTTCAACCCACAGCAATGGCCGATCAAAATCGAACTTGGCATACAGAGCCCTCATGACCCACTCTATAGCCTGATGTGGTTTGTGGGACAATGGATCATGGATGATGGGACTTGTAGTACCTTTACTCCCTGAGACCACTGCGACCCTCACCAATATCTGATCAAGACCAAACTTGGCACACAGAGCCACCATGACCGACTCTAAATCTTGGTGTTTGGAGGAGGATGAACCATGGATGATGTGACTTCAATATGGGAGTTGTAATTCACCCACGCCCACTGAACCCAGCTGACATTCTATGTAGATGAAACTTGAAGGACAGACAAACAATGACCTTCCCAAACAATCCGAGCACTGCCGGGTCCCCAAGCTAGTAATATAATAATTATTTAATTATATTATATTCTAATATAATAATTACATTATAATGTATATTATTATATTATATAATGACACAATAAGGATAATAATATAATTATAATATAAGAACATAGCTATTATGTTATTATTATTATTAACTTATTATGTTATTATTACATAGCAGAGCACCTGATGAACCAGCCTGGACACAGCATATTATTTGAGAGCACAGAAATGCTGGACCATACCAACAACCACCATGTCAGACTACACAGAGAAGCCATTGAAATCCACAAGCATGTGGACAATTTCAACAGAAAGGAAGAGACCATGAAAATGAACAAAATCTGGCTACCAGTATTAAAAAACTCTAAAATTATAACAGCTAAACAACAGAGAGGAAAAAACCAGGCACAGATTAACACCTCCCAGCAACAGATTTCCCAGGCTTAGGCAGGCCTTCAAATGCTAATGAAGGTGATCAGCTAACATTCACACCTAACTGCAGCAGGGAAGAGCTCCTTGCCCCACCCCAGCCATTCCACAGATATATAAACCCATTTTTCCTACTTCCAACAGACCTCACACCTCTGAGGATGCTTGCCATAGATGCAGGCGAAACGTCAGGAGAAATGCCTCTAGAACATGGCTCTATAGCCCGAAAAAACCCACAAGAACCTAATAATTACATTATTACATTATTATATTGTATTATATTGTATAATATTACAATTGATAATGATATAAAATATAATAATATATAATAATATAAGAATTATAATTTCATAAAAGAATAGAATAGAATATAATAATATAATAATCATATTGTATAGTAATATATTATTGATAGAATAATATAATACAATATAATAATATAATATATTATTGATAGAATAATAATAATAATAATAATAAAGTATGTCCTCTGTGTCTTCTCTTCTACAGAGTTCAAGAGGTCAATGCCGAGGGTTCCTCCCCTTTTGCCGAAGATGACCTTAGCCCTGGAAGTGACCCTTCTTCCTCTTCCTTGGAGCGAATGACCTTGTATGTCCATTGCGTCCGGAGTGTGACCCTTTGCCTTTTGGCCGAAGAAGCTTTCAAAGACCCTGAAGGCGTGGTGTGTACAAATAATAACAATAATAATAGAAAATAATAATGATATTAATATCATAATAATGGAAAATACTAATAATAATAGAAAATAATAATAGAAATAATAATGAAAAATAATATTATAAATAAATAAATAAATAATATAAAATAATAACAATGTAAAATATAAATATAATATAACAATAGAGTATAATAATAATAATAATAATAATAATAATAATAATAATGATATGAATATATAATGGTAATGAATGTGCTCAGTTCCAGAGCAGCTTGGCATCCTTGAATGGGCTGGAGGTCCATTTGCGTGAGACCCAAATCCAAGATGGCCGCCCCCATGCCAAGACCACCCCCTCCTACACCTTCGGCCATTTTGACTCCACGCAGAGGATCCTCACTAGTGAGTTCAGAGATCAAGGGTCATGGGAGGGGTCAATGGTCACACTGAACCAACATTCATGGAGTCCCTATCTTATTATATATATATATAGAGAGAGAGAGAGAGAGAGAGAATATTATATTTTAATTATATATATATATATTGTTGGGGTTCAGCCTGTGTGTGAACTTGAACCTGACTCTCTGATTGTATTTCCTGATGCCCATGTAGATGTCAATGTGAATGCTGAGGCCAATTTAGATGATGATGGTTTGAGTAGTGAAAATCCTACAGCCTTGGAAAGCGAAAGTCAAGATTCCCATGAGAACATACATTCCGAACCAAGCAGAGACAGTTCACTCCCTTTTCCTCCCAGTTTTAGCTCTCCAGAGAATCAGGCACCTGGCCTGCCTAATAAGGATAGGCAGGGGCAGATTTGGCAGAGTCGGGGAGAAGCCCAGTGTTTACGCAGGTCAGCCAGATTGAAAGAAATCCAAACAGAATCTTCAGGCGTGTCTCGCAATAGATTTCTTGGCCTTAAATATGCCTGTTCTGAATCCAGCTTCAGACCAGGCATCGTTCCAGATTCATGTGTCAGCGTTTGCAGGTCTCCTGATTCAAGTAGCCTTGTTCCTCGGAGGTTTTCTAGTTTCCCTAAGTATGGTTAGTGATTTGCTAACAGGTTCCAGGATTCAGCAGTTTAGCTGTGGGTTTCATGATCTTGTTTATGGACATTTCTTGTTGCTGATTTTTACTGTAGCTTTTAGGAGCCCCAGGTGGCGCAGTGGGTTAAACCCCTGTGCCGGCAGGACTGAAGATCGACAGGTCGCAGGTTCGAATCCAGGGAGAGGCGGATGAGCTCCCTCTATCAGCTCCAGCTCCTCATGCGGGGACATGAGAGAAGCCTCCCAAAAAGGATGATAAAAACATCAAATCATCCAGGCGTCCCCTGGGCAACGTCCTTGCAGACGGCGAATTCTCTCACACCAGAAGCGACTTGCAGTTTCTCAAGTCGCTCCTGACACGACAAAAAAAACCAAAAAACTGTAGCTTTTTACCTTTGCATTTTCCCCTCTATTTTGTATTCATCTTTCATCAATAAAAAAGGATTGTTTTCCTATATTGTATTATTTTGGTATATATCAACCTATTATTATTATATTATTATTATAATATTATTATTATTACTTTATTATTATTATTATTATCGTATTCAGGTATATGATTATCATGGTCAGAGTTACGAGGTCCTTTGAGGGGGAGGTTGGGTCAGGGTTCACTTGAGGTAAAAGTTAACTATTTCCTGTTCTTTTCCAGGCAACTTCCTGCCTTGGGACCACCTGTTCCTGCGCGCTGCCAGTCGCATCCATGACACTTTCGAACAAATACCCTCTGCTTCTGAAATCTCTGTCAGGTCATTATTATATTTATTATTATATATTTTGACTAGACAATTCCCCAGATAGTTTGGCCCCAGCTAAGACCTAAAAATCTTACCCTCGCACCTAACTCTTCTTCTGTACCCAAAGTTATAATGCTCTATCTTACATTGCCCTCTATGCATGCTGCTGCCAAGTGACTTATTTATTTATTTATTTATTTATTATTAACTTTATTTGTACCCCGCTAGCATCTTCCGAAGGACTCGATGCGGCTTACAAAGGCCAAGGCCTCAACACAACAACAGCATAACAAATACACAACTTAAAGCAAATCAAAACATTAAAGCAATAACAAAACAACACAAAACAATACACCATAACACAATAAAACTAGGGCCGGGCCAAATGTGATGGGTACATATTAAAAAAGTGCTGGGTGTGACAGGTGGTATGTCGGAATTTAGGGTAAGAGCAGTATGCAGGCAATCTTAAAACTCTAATAAAATGCTTCTGGGACATATTGCTGGAGTTTTCCTATTCTGGAAAGGCACATCGGAACAGCCAGGTCTTCAAGCTCTTCCTAAAGACTGCCAACGTAGGGGCTTGTCTGATGTCTTTGGGGAGGGTGTTCCAAAGTCGGGGGGCCACCACAGAAAAGGCCCTGTCCCGCGTCCCCACCAAACGCGCCTGCGACACAGGTGGAATCACGAGCAGGGTCTCTCCGAATGAGCGAAGGGAATGTGTGGGTTTATAAACGGAGATGCGGTCATGCAGGTAGGCTGGTCCCAAACCGTTTAGGGCTTTGTAGGTAAGCACCTGCCCCTTGAATTGGGTTCGGAAAATAAACGGCAGCCAAGGGAGCTCCTTGAACAGGAGGGTTGACCTCTCTCTGTAAGGAGCACCAGTTAACATCCTGGCCGCCGCCCGTTGGACCAGTTGGAATTTCTGAGCCATTTTCAAGGGCAGCCCCACGTAGAGCGCATAACAGTAGTCCAATCTAGAGGTGACCAAGGCATGGACCACCCTGGCCAGATCAGCCTTAGCGAGGTACGGTTGCAGTTGGCGCACGAGTCTCAATTGTGCAAAAGCCCTCCCAGACACCGCCGATGCCTGAGCCTCAAGCGTAAGTGATGAATCCAAGAGGACTCCCAAACTGCGGACCTGTGGCTTCAGGGGGAGTGTAACCCCGTCCAACACAGGTTGCCACCCTATACCCCGATCTGGTTTACGATCGACCAGGAGGACCTCTGTCTTGTCGGGATTGATCTTCAGCTTGTTCCTCCTCATCCAGATAGACACAGCAGCCAGGCCCTCGTCCGGCACCTGAGAGGCCTCCTTGGAGTTTGGTGGAAATGAGTAATAGAGTTGTGTGTCATCTGCATAGAGATGGCAACCAACTCCAAAACTCCGGATGACCTCTCCCAGCGGTTTCATGTAGATGTTAAAAAGCATGGGAGACAAAATAGAGCCTTGTGGGAGCCCACAGGTCAAAGGCCAGGGGTCCGAGCAGGCGTCTCCCAGCTTCACCATCTGGGATTGCCCCTCCAGGAAGGACCGGAGCCACGACAAAACCGTGCCCCCGAGACCCATCCCAGAGAGCCGTCCCAGAAGGATACCATGATCGATGGTATCGAAAGCCACTGAGATGTCCAAGAGAACCAACAGGGTCACACTCCCCCGTCCAGCTCTCTACGGAGGTCATCCACCAAGGCCGTCTCGGTGCCGTGGCCAGGCCTGAAGCCAGACTGTGACTGATCTAGGTGGTTGATGTCATCTAGAAAACCCTGGAGCTGGGAGGCGACCGCATATGCACTTTATCCATCAGTCCTATCCTCATAATTAATTTGCACCAGCCCACTCACCCGTGCCCAGAATTTGATCATTATTGCAGATTCATTGGTTATTGATTGCTCTTATATTTTGTTATAATGTTGTTTTATTCTGTTTTATGCTGTTGTAAATGTATTTTAACGTGTTATATTTTAACTAAGTTGATGTTGATCAGGCTCGTCCCCAGATGGAGGCGGCATACAAAAATAAAGTTATTATTATTATTATTATTATTATTATTATTACATTTTATTATATTATTATTGTTATATATTTCTTATTATATTTTTATTAAGTCCAGTCCTCTTATTTTGAGGTCATTGTTGCATTTATTATTTTATATTATTATATTAGTATTATATTTCTATTATTATATTATATTATATTGCAAATGCAAGATACTCCACTTTGGCAGCAAAAACGAAATGCAAAGATACAGAATGGGTGACGCCTGGCTCGAGAGCAGTACGTGTGAAAAAGATCTTGGAGTCCTCGTGGACAACAAGTTAAACATGAGCCAGCAATGTGATGTGGTGGCAAAAAAAACCAATGGGATTTTGGCCTGCATCAATAGGAGCATAGTGTCTAGATCCAGGGAAGTCATGCTTCCCCTCTGCCTGTTGAACCAATTGAAATTTCTGGGCCGTTTTCAAGGGCAGCCCCATGTAGACTGCATTACAGTAGTCCAATCTGGAGGTGACTAAGGCATGGACCACCCTGGCCGTAAGTGGACACCTCCGCCACATACACATTTTCACTGTTATGTGTATACATTATATTATTATTATTATTATTATTATTATTATTATTATTATTATTATACTATGTATGTGATATTATTCTCTGATTCCCTTTCTCCTCTTCAGGAGTGGTGGTTCTTCATGTGCCTGTTCTCTCTATGCACTGCGCGGGCCCCTCTTGCTACAGGAAGCCTATTACTTCCCTGCCGCTGGCCCCCATCTGTCCCCTCCTCCTCCAGCATCCTCTTTCGGCGGTCCAGACACCAAGGATGCCCTCTTCCTTTTGCCTGGAAAAGCCAAGCAGAAGCTCCTCAAGCATGGATTCAATCTCCTCTGAAAACCAACCCACCCACCCATCTATTCATCCATCAATAAAATATTATTATTATAATAAGGCTCTTGTTTCTATTGCGCTGCAGCAACAAAGGCCACAGAGAAATATTTATTATATTTATTACTAGCCGTCCCCTGCCATGCGTTGCTTTGGCTCACATGGGGGTTCTGTGTGGGAGGTTTGGCCCAATTCTAACGTCGGTGGGGTTCAGAATGCTCTGTGATTGTAGGTGAACTACAAATCCCAGCAACTACAACTCCCAAATGTCAAGATTCTATTTTCCCCAAACTCTACCAGTGTTCACATTTGGGCATATTAAGTATTCGTGTGGAGTTTGGTCCAGACCCATCATTGTTTGAGTCCACAGTGCTCTCTGGATGTAGGTGAACTACAACTCCAAAACCAAAGGACTTCCAGTATTTTCTGTTGGTCACGGGAGTTCTGTGTGCCAAGTTTGGTTCAATTCCATCGTTGGTGGGGTTCAGAAAGCTCTTTGATAGTAGGTGAACTACAAATCCCAGCAACTACAACTCCCAAATGTCAAGATTCTATTTTCCCCAAACTCCACCAGTGTTCACATTTGGGCATCTTGGGTATTCATGTAGAGTTTGGTCCGGACCCATCATTGTTTGAGTCCACAGTGATCTCTGGATGTAGGTGAACTACAACTCCAAAACCAAAGGACACTGCCCACCAAACCCTTCCAGTATTTTCTGTTGGTCACGGGAGAACTGTGTGCCAAGTTTGGTTCAATTCCATCGTTGGTGGGGTTCAGATTGCTCTTTGATTGTAGGTGAACTATAAATCCCAGCAACTACAACTCCCAAATGACAAAATCATTTTTTTTGAGTGAAGGACATACATTCGGTTGTTAGGTGTCTTGTGTCCAAATTTGGTGCCAATTCGTCCATTGGGTTTTGAGTTCTGTTAATCCCACAAACGAATGTTACATTTTTATTTATATAGATTATATTAGTTTATTTTATTTATTATTTATTTATGATTATATTTATTATTGTATGATTATATTATATATTTATTACTAGCCAACCCCTGTCACGCGTGGCTGTGGCCCAGTCTGTGTATATGGGTTTTGTGTGCATGTATATATTTGTGCATATATGTGTGTTTGTGGGTGTATATGTGTGTGTATATATTTGTGTCCCTGCCACGCGTTGCTGTGGCCCAGTCTGGTGATCTGGAAAATAAAGTAATGAGAAAGTGTTGGTTTCTAATATATGTAATTTCTTTATGCTTGTGGGTAAACAGTATTTGATTATGTTTTCTTGCCCTGGTGAAGGGAGTTGGACTGGATGGCCTTAAATATTTTGTACTGGTCATAAGGGTTCTGTGTGGGAAGTTTGCCCTAATTCTGTCGTTCATGGGCTTCAGAATGCTCTTTGATTGTAGGAAACTATAAATCCCAGTAAGTACAACTCCCAAATGTCAAGGTCTATTTCCCCCAAGCTCCATCTGTGTTCCTAGTTGGGCATATGGAATATTCGTGCCAAGTTTGGTCCAGATCCTTCATTGTTTGAGTCCAAAGTTCTCTCTGGATGTAGATGTACTACAACTTCAAAACTCAAGGTCAATGCCCACCAAACCCTTCTAGTGTTTTCTGTTGGTCATGGGAGTCCTTTGGTTCAATTCCATCAATTCCATTGGTGGAGTTCAGAATGCTCTTTGATTGTAGGTGAACTATAAATCCCAAGCACTACAACTCCCAAATGACAAAATCAAACATTTTTGACTGAAGGACATACATTGGGTTGTTAGGTGTATGCTGTCCAAATTTTGTGTCAATCTGCCCGCTGGTTTTTGAGTTCTGTGAATACCACAAATGAACATTACATTTTTATTTATATAGATTAGTATGTTTATATGTTGTTGTTGTTGTTCGTTCAGTCGTCTCCAACTCTTCGTGACCTCATGGACCAGCCCACGCCAGAGCTCCCTGTCGGCCGTCACCACCCCAGCTCCTTCAAGGTCAGTCCAGTCACTTCAAGGATGCCATCCATCCATCTTGCCCTTGGTCGGCCCCTCTTCCTTTTGCCTTCCACTTTCCCCAGCATCATTGTTTTCTCTAGGCTTTCCTGTCTCCTCATGATGTGGCCAAAGTACTTCAACTTTGTCTCTAGTATCTTTCCCTCCAGTGAGCAGTCGGGCTTTATTTCCTGGAGGATGGACTGGTTGGATCTTCTCGCAGTCCAAGGCACTCTCAGAACTTTCCTCCAACACCACAGCTCAAAGCATATCTTCCTTCGCTCAGCCTTCCCTAAGGTCCAGCTCTCACATCCGTAGGTTACTACAGGGAATACCATGGCTTTGACTGGGCGGATCTTTGTTGCCAGTCTGATGTCTCTACTCTTCACTATTTTATCGAGATTGGTCCTTGCTCTCCTCCCAAGAAGTAATCATCTCCTGATTTCCTGGCGGCAGTCTGCATCTGCAGTAATCTTTGCACCTAGAAATACAAAGTCTGTCACGGCCTCCACGGTTTCTCCCTCTATTTTCCAGTTGTCAATCATTCTTGTTGCCATAATCTTGGTTTTTTTGACGTTTAGCTGCAACCTGGCTTTTGCGCTTTCTTCTTTCACCTTGATTAGAAGGCTCCTCAGCTCCTCCTCGCTTTCGGCCATCAGAGTGGTGTCATCTGCATATCTGAGGTTGTTAATGTTTCTTCCAGCAATTTTAACCCCAGCTTTGCATTCATCCAGCCCCGCACATCGCATGATGTGTTCTGCATACAAGTTAAAAAGGTTGGGTGAGAGGATGCAGCCTTGCCATACGCCTTTCCCAATCTTGAACCAGTCTGTTGTTCCATGGTCAGTTCTGACTGTTGCTACATGGTCCTTGTACAGATTCCTCAGGAGAGAGACAAGGTGGCTTGGGATGCCCATCCCACTAAGAACTTGCCACAATTTATTATGATCCACACAGTCAAAGGCTTTAGAATAGTCAATGAAGCAGAAGTAGATGTTTTTCTGAAACTCCCTGCCTTTCTCCATTATCCAGCGGATATTGGCAATCTGGTCTCTCGTTCCTCTGCCTTTTCTAAACCCAGCTTGAACATCTGGCAACTCTCGCTCCATGTATTGCTGGAGTCTTCCTTGCAGGATCTTGAGCATTACCTTACTGGCATGAGAAATAAGGGCCAATGTACGGAAGTTTGAGCAGTCTTTCGCATTTCCCTTTTTTGGTATGGGGATATAAGTTGATTTTTTCCAGTCTGATGGCCATTCTTGTGTTTTCCATATTTGCTGGCAAATGGCATGCATCACCTTGACAGCATCATCTTTTAAGATTTTAAACAGTTCAGCTGGGATCCCGTCGTCTCCTGCTGCCTTGTTGTTAGCAATGGTTCTTAAGGCCCATTCAACCTCACTCCTCAGGATGTCTGGTTCTAATTCATTCACCACACCGTCAAAACTATCCTCAATATTATTATCCTTCCTATACAGATCTTCTGTATAGTCTCGCCACCTTCCTCTTGATCTCTTCAGCTTCTGTTAGGTCCCTGCCATCTTTGTTTCTTATCATACCAATTTTTGCCTGAAATTTACCTCCAATGTTTCTAATTTTCTGGAAGAGGTCTCTTGTCCTTCCTATTCTGTTGTCTTCTTCCACTTCCATGCATTGCTCATTTAAAAATAGTTCCTTATCTCTTCTGGCTAACCTCTGGAATTGCGCATTTAACTGGGCATATCTCCCCTTATCCCTGTTTCCTTTTGCTTTCCTCCTTTCTTGGGCTACTTCCAGTGTCTCAGCAGACAACCATTTTGCCTTCTTGGTTTTCTTTTTCTTTGGGACGTACTTTGTTGCCGCCTCCTGAACAATGTCTCGGACTTCTGTCCATAGTTCTTCTGGGACTCTGTTTACTAAATCTAGTCCTTCAAATCTGTTTTTCACTTCCACTGTATATTCGCTAGGAATGTTAGTGAGATCATATCTAACTGGTCTGTGTATTTTCCCTGATCTCTTTAGTTTTATTCTAAATTGGGCAATAAGAAGTTCGTGATCTGAGCTACAGTCAGCCCCAGGTCTTGTTTTCACCGACTGGATGGATGTCCGCCACCTTTGGCTGCAAAGGATGTAGTCAATCTGATTTCGGTGTTGACCATCTGGTGAGGTCCATGTGTAAAGCCGTCTTTTAGGTTGTTGGAAGAGAGTATTCGTTATACACAGCGAGTTTTCCTGGCAAAATTCTATCAGCCTGCGTCCCGCTTCATTTTGTTCTCCCAGACCATGCTTGCCTGTGATCGCTGTTGTCATTTGACTTCCCACCTTGGCATTCCAGTCTCCTGTAATGAAAATAATGTCTCTTTTTGGTGTATTATCCAGTAGGTCCTGCAGATCCTCATAGAAATGATCTACTTCTGCTTCTTCAGCAGCTGTGGTTGGGGCGTATATTTGGATCACTGTAATGTTGAAAGGCTTTCCTTGCACTCGAATTGAGATCATTCTGTCATTTTTTGGGTTGTATCCAAGCACCGCTTTAGCGAATTTTTATTAATTATGAAGGCTACTCCATTTCTTCGATGTTCCTCTTGTCCGCAGTAGTAGATCTGGTGGTCATCTGATGTGAAGTGGCCCATTCCAGTCCATTTCAGTTCGCTGACCCCCAGAATGTCTATCTTTAGTCTTGACATCTCGCCAATAACAACATCCAATTTGCCCTGGCTCATAGATCGTACATTCCAGGTTCCTATGGTGTGTTGATCTTTAGAGCATCGGATTCGTCGTTCACCTCCAGTACCGTCGGCCGCTAGCCTTCCTTTCGGCTTTGAGCTAGCTGCGTCATCACATCTGGGGCTAGTTGAACTTATCCTCTGCTCCTCCCCAGTAGCATTTTGGCCATCTTCCGACCTGGGAGTCCCATCTTCCAATGGCATACCGAAATATCTCTGGTTGTACTGGTCCATTTAGTTTTCTTGGCAAGGATACTGGAGTGGTTTGCCATTGCCTTCCCCAGGGATCACGCTTGGTCTGACCTCTCTGCCACAACCGTCCCGTCTTGGGTGGCCCTTCACGGTTTCGCTCATGACATCATTGAGGTGCTCAAGTTCCAGCGCCCCGACAAGGCGGTGATCCTTTGCTGGAGAATATGTTTATATGTGTACATGCATATTGTGTATATGTGTGTGCTTGTCCATATGCATATTTGTATATGTATATGTGTGTGCATGTGTATATGTATATATGTATGTGTGCATGAATATATGTATATGTGTATTTGTGTGTGTATGAATGTGTGCATGTGTATAAGTATATGACTGTATGTGTATATGTATATATTGTGTATTTTGGGGGGGTGGTTAAGTTTGTTGCTGGGGTTTCGTGTGTGTGTGTGTGTGTTTAGGGGTGATGGACACTCGTTGGATTGTTAGGTGTATTGTGTCCAAATTTGGTGTCAATTCGTCCAATGGTTTTTGAGTTATGTTAATCCCGCAAACGAACATTGCATTTTTATTTATATAAGATTCTTCTTATTATTAAAAGTCTCTCTGAAGATACTTCATGTCCCATCGTCCATGGTTCGTTGTTCCACAAGCTACACCAAGACTTAGAGTTGATCATGGAGGTTCTGTGTGCCAAGTTTGGTCCTGATCCGTCATTGGTGAGGGTCGCAGTGTTCTCAGGAAGTGAGCGAAGGTACTTGCAAGTCCCATCATCCATACTCCATCTTTCTTCAAACCACACAAGGACATACAGTGGGTCATGGGGCCTCTGTCAAATTTGGACCTGGTCCAAATTCAGCGGGGGATTCAGCGGTCATTTGAAGTCTGATCCAAAACATGTGAAAGTACTGCAAATCAACTATGGTCAATCCTCCACTTAACTTCACTAGGATATAAAGTGGGTCATGGGGGGGGGTCTGTGTGCCAAGTCTGGTCCAGTTTCATCATTTATGGTCTTCACAGTGGTCTGTAGGAGTATTTTGGATGAAGGTACTGCAAATCCCATCATCCATGGTCCATCCTCCCCCAAACTACAGCAGGACATTAAGTGGGCCACAATGGGTCTGTGTGCCAAGTTTAGTCTAGATCCGGTGCAGTCTGGCTTTAGGCCGGGGCATGGTACCGAGACAGCCTTGGTTGCCTTAGTGGATGATCTTCACCGCAGGGGGAGTGTGTCCCTGTTGGTTCTGCTGGACCTCTCATCGGCCTTCGATACCGTCGACCATGGTATCCTTTGGGGACACCTCGTGGGAATGGGCCTTGGAGGTACTGCTTTGCAGTGGCTCCAGTCCTTTCTCATGGGGCGATCCCAGAAGGTGTCACTAGGGGACTCCTGCTCGACCCCACGGCCATTGTACTGTGGAGTCCCGCAGGGTTCAGTACTGTCCCCTATGTTATTTAACATCTACATGAAGCCGTTGGGAGAGATCATCCGGAGTTTCGGGGTGCGGTGTCATCTGTACGCAGATGATGTCCAACTCTGTCACTCCTTTCCACCTGCTACTAAGGAGGCTGTCGAGGTCCTGAACCGGTGCTTGGCCGCTGTGACGGACTGGATGAGGGCAACAAATTGAAACTAAATCCAGACAAGACAGAGGTACTCCTGGTCAGTCGAAAGGCCGAACAGGGCATAGGGTTACAGCCTGTGCTGAACGGAGTTACACTCCCCCTGAAGGCACAGGTTCGCAGCTTGGGAGTGATCCTGGACTCATCGCTGAGCCTGGAACCCCAGGTTTCGGCGGTGACCAGGGGAGCCTTTGCACAATTAAAACTTGTGCACCAGCTGCGCCCGTACCTTGGGAAGTCTGACTTGGCCACAGTGGTCCACGCTCTGGTTACATCCCGTATAGACTACTGCAACGCTCTCTATGTGGGGTTGCCTCTGAAGACTGCCCGGAAGCTTCAATTAGTCCAACAGCCAGGTTACTAACGGGAGCGGGGGGTACAGGGAGCATACTACTCCTCTGTTGCGCCAGCTCCACTGGCTGCCAGTCAGCTTCCGAGCACAATTCAAAGTGCTGGTCTTAACCTATAAAGCCCTAAACGACTCCGGCCCAATTTACCTGTCCGAACGTATCCTCCCCTATGAACCATCAAGATTGCTAAGATCGTCTGGAGGGGCCCTGCTCTCGATCCCACCGGCCTCACAGGCGCGGCTGGTGGGGACGAGAGACAGGGCCTTCTCGGTGGTGGCCCCTCGACTCTGGAACTCCCTTCCACTGGAGATCAGAACTGCCCCTTCTATCTTAACGTTCAGGAAACAGGTGAAAACTTGGCTTTGGGGATTGGCATTCGACGAATGAGCCATGATCCTGTGATATGGATGGATGACGACGAATAATGATTTTTGATGACGACTGACCACTGTAATTATATGATTGTATTTTGCTATTTTAATGTTTTAGTGTGATTTAGAATATGATGTTTTAATGACTGTCTGTAATATTGATGTTGGAAACCGGCCTGAGTCCCTTGAACAGAGGTGAGAAGACCGGTATACAAAACTGCTAAATAAATAAAAATAAATAGTCCAGGCTTGTCATTCATGGGAGTCACAGTGATCTCTGGAAGTGAGTGAAGGTACTACAAATCCCATCATCCTTGGTCCATCTGCCCCCAAACCACACCAGGATGTAAATTAGGCCATGGGGGTACTGTGTGCCAAGTTTGGTCCTCATTCGTCATTGATGGGGGGTCACAGTGGTCTATGGGAGCAGAAGTGATTGAAAGTACTGGAAATCCCATCATCCATGGTTCATCCTCTCCTAAACTACACCAGGATGTAAAGTGGGTCATGGGGGTTATGTGTACCAAGTTTGGTCCAGGTCTGTCATTCGTGGGGGTCACAGTGGCCTGTGGAAGTGGCAGCCAATCAGGAAGCTGCCACACACATACATACAATACATACATTCAAACTATTATTATTATATGCTAGTTTGGGGACCCAGTGGTGCCCGGGTAACTTGAGAATGGCATTGTTTGTTTTGGGAAATTTGGTAATATCTCTGGATGTAGTGAGAGGCAGTAGGTGGGGTCATGCAAATTTGAAGAGAGAAAGGAACCCTGGGATGTCTATTCTGTAGGCTGGAGGCTGTCTGTGTAAGTGGACACCTCCACCACATACACATTTTCCACTTGTATTATGTGTATAGATAAATAAGATAGATATATAGATAAATGATTTAGTAAAAATAATCTGAAAATATAATATAATAATAAATATAATAAAAACAGAATAGATTGTAATATGAAAATAAAATACAATACTAATAAAATATAATAATAAATATATTAGGAAAATAATAACAAATAGAAAGTAGAAAAATAATAATAAAATATAATGCTAATTAAATATGATAATGAAATATAGTATGAAAATAATAAAAATAATAGAAAGGAATAATAAATTCTAATAGAAAATAAAATACAACATTAATAAAATATGACAATAAAATATATTATGCAAATAATAATAATAATAATAAAAATAATAAATTGTAATATGAGAATAAAATGCAACACTAATAAAATATTGTAAATAATTTTATTATGAAAATAAATAAACAATAGAATAATAGTAATAGATTATAATATGGAAACAAGATACAATCCTAACAAAATATTATAATAAAATATATTATGAAAATAATAATAGAAAAATAATAATAAATTGTAGCATGAAAATAAAATACAATAGTTATAAAATATACTGTGAAAATAATAAAAATAATACAACACTAATCAAATATTATAATAAATATATTATGAAAATAATAATAGAAAAATAATAATAAATTGTAGTATGAAAATAAAATACAATAGTTATAAAATATACTGTGAAAATAATAAAAATAATACAACACTAATCAAATATTATAATAAAATATATTATGAAAATGATAAAAATAGAATAATAAAAAATTCTAATAGGAAAATAAAATGTAATAATATACCATGAAAATAACAGCAACAATAATAATGGCAGATTGGAATAATAATATTATTTACAATAATAAAAATATATGAAAAAATGTGATAATATTATAACATGTAATAATAAAATAGACAAAATAATATTAGGCTAAAAGAGGCTCATAGACAACAATAAAACTGAATTTTCAAATAATAATAAATATATTATTAAAAAAATACAATACGCTTATTTCACAGGAAAAGATCACAATTGTATCTTCCCCTCGGTCGGTTCACAAGTGTCACTAATTACCTGTCTTTTATCCCTGTTTTATTTGTGAGAAATATATACTTAATTAACAAAGACGTCGACGACAAAAGACGACCCTCTTTTCAGAAATTTCCAGAACAAAACGCACGAGGAAAAAACGGACAAAAGTGCACAAAATACGATTACATATCTTTTTTTTCTTCCCTCGTGCGAGAATTTTCGCATGAGGAGCACTAGTGCAAAATGCCAGGAAAAGGTGGATTCTCACCACTCTACAAACACTAATTTGCACTATGAGTATGCACATTTGCACGACTGCAATTGTGCACACTGTCATGTAAAAGTGCAAAACTGACAAAAGTCTCACACAGCAAAATAATAACAATAATAATAATAATTTGTGTGCTTTGTGCAAAGGCAGTGATTGACATAAAAATCGTTCTGCACGGATTGCGCATCACTCGTGTTTGATACGGTTTCACTTGTGAGATCACAGAATAGTTTCCCAATTAGGAAAAAATCACAATGGTGTGTATGTGTGTGTTCACAATTGCACACCTGTGCAAAGGAGCTTATCAGCCAAAAAAAGGCTGGGTTTCTTCCCCCCAACTCATGCACAGTGATTGTGCAAACGGTGTTTTTTCCCCCCGGAAGAAATCAGGATAATTTGCACAAGTGGGACTCAAGTGTGTTATTTACATGATTGCAGCTCGCTGGTCCAAAAATAAATAAATAAGAGAGTGAGGTTCACACTTTGGTTGCACTTGTGCAAAGCTGCTTATCACACTTCTAACAATAATATAACAATAATATCTTGCACAAGAGTGATTGTGTCCACGTCCACTCGTGTGAAGACATTATCTCGCACATTGTCAGCAAAGTGACAGGTAGGTTGTATTTCTGGAAATGTTCACACGGCGGGAAACCCTCATGTGATGGCTCTTGTGCAATTGCACCAGGACTCCTTGTTGAGACTTCCAGTTTTTCCTCCTTGTTCTTTCACCGCCATTGTGATCATCATCCTCATGATCACCATCACCGTCCCGGAGCGAAGATGAAGTCAAGGGCCTGCCTCTCAGCGGCGGCCACGTTGGGGTGCCACAAGTCCACCAGGAAGACCACACGAGGGCCCTCTTCCACAGGACCTAGAATAATATAATATAATATAATATAATATAATATAATATAATATAATATAATATTGTGATATAATAATGTAACATAATATATAATAATTTAGTATTTTAAAATATTAAATTAATAAAATATATTACATATATAAAATAAAATAATATATAAAAGTAAAATATTGTAGTACCATATAATAATATACTACATTAAACAAATATAATAATATATTTAAAAACATTTAAAATATTAAATAGAATAATATCTCATAATAAAAACTTTATATTAAATAATAATATATTATTATATTCAAATTACATTCCAAATATTAAAGATAATCATTAGTATATAGGTTCTTGTGGGTTTTTTTGGGCTATAGGGCCATGTTCTAGAGGCATTTCTCCTGACGTTTCGCCTGCATCTATGGCAAGCATCCTCACTACCTCTGAGGATGCTTGCCATAGATGCAGGCAAAACGTCAGGAGAAATGCCTCTAGAACATGGCCCTATAGCCCGAAAAAACCCACAAGAACCTAGTGATTCCAGCCATGAAAGCCTTCGACAATACATTAGTATATATTATAAAAATATAAAAACACACACACACACATATATATATATACATTTAAAATATTAAATATAATATGTCATAATATATATTATTATATAATATTGTAGTATATTATAAAAATATGATATATTAAAATAACATTTAAAATATTAAATTAATAATAATATTAAAACAGCATTATATTAAATATAATAATACTATATAATAATATAATATGATATAGTAATATTACATTAGAGTATAACATTATAAAATATAATAATAATATATTAAAACGACATGCAAAATATTAAATATACCGTATATTCCGGCATATAAGACGACTGGGCATATAAGACGACCCCCCAACTTTTCCAGTTAAAATATAGAGTTTGGTATATACTCGCCGTATAAGACCACCCCTCTTCCATTGCACACCAAATAAAAATAAAAAATAAAAACATCAGATTTGATTTCAAATCCAAGACTATCAAAGCAGTATCCAGCTCTTCGGCTTAGAAATGGAGATGAGCGCCAACCCCCAGAGCCGGACACGACTGGACTTAACGTCAGGAGAAAACCCTTACCTCACCTGTAAACTCCTGTATGTTTATTATTTATTTAACAGTTGTGGGTCCATGGAGCGTAATAAAGTTCTATAAATTTTTACCTTACCTTACCTAGAGTGAGACCAGGGCCGGGTCCAATGTCCTTTCCCCAACAACAACAACAATAATGGAAATCTAGAATTGGAAGGGACTCCAATGGCCATCCAGTCTAACCCTAATTCTGCCAGACAGGAACACATGTCCAAGCCCTCCCGACAGATGGCCATCCTGTTCTACTTAATAATAGCAATAGCAACAATAATAGCAATAACAACAACAACAATAATAGAAGGGACCTCAATGACCATTCAGTCCAACCCCATTCCTGCCAGGCAGGAAGACACAATGCAAGCCTTCCTAACAGGTGGCCATACAACTCTGCTTAACAATAACAACAACAACAGAACGCTAGAGTTGGGACTCCAATGGCCATCCATTCCAACCCACTCACTCCTGCCAGGCAGGAAGACACAATGCAAGCCTCCCCAACAGGTGGCCATCCAGTTCTAGTTGCCATATATACTCGAGTATAAGCTGACCCGAATATAAGCTGAGGCACTTAATTTTACGACCAAAAACTGGGAAAATTTATTGACTCGAGTATAAGCCAGGGGAGGGAAATGCAGCAGCTAGTGGTAAGCTGAGGGGACAGAAGTTGTCATAAAGCCATCTTGTGCAGCTTCCAAAACCCAACACGTGAGAACATTTTGCACTGCAGCCAGATATTTCCAAGGTCATGCCCAAAGGGTTTGATGAATATACCCTTTTTGAGATAGATCTAAATCACCTGTAGCCCTCCAGGTGTTTTGGACTTCAACTCCTACAATTCCTAACAGTCAGTATTTGAGAACACAGAAATGCTGGACCAGTCTCACAACCACCATGTCAGACTACACAGAGAAGCCATTGCAATCCACAAGAAGCATGTGGACAATTTCAACAGAAAGGAGGAAACCATGAAAATGAACAAAATCTGGCTACCAGTATTTAAAAAAAACTCCTCTAAAATCAGGACAGTAAATAAAAAACAACACTCAAAAGCAGGGGAAATCCAGACAATAAAAAATCAGGACCAACTAACACCTCCCAACAAAGGATTCCCCCAGGCAGGAAGCAGCCAGGCTTTGAAGCTGCAAGGCCATTCATTGCTAATCAAGGTAGCCAATGGCAACATTCCCACTTGCCTCAAGCAGACAAGAGTTCTTTCTCCCACCCTGGACTTTCCACAGATATATAAACCCCACTTGCCATGTTTCCAACAGACCTCACAACCTCCAAGGATGCCTGGCATAGATCTGGGCAAAACATCAGGAGAGGACACTTCTGGAACATGGCTATACAGTCTGGAAAACTCACAGCAACCCAGCCAGTAGCTGTTAGGAATTGTGAGAGTTGAAATTCAAAACAATCTGATAGAAAACTGGGACTTGTAGTTTGGTATGGTACTGGCTCTCTTAAACAGGGAAGGCTAAGGACCTTGTAAAACTACAACTCCTGTGATTCCATGGCACTGAATCTGTGGCAGTTATTTGGGGGGGGGGATTCCCCTTTAAGAATAGATGGCCCTTGCACTGGGACTTCCCCTTTAAGGCTGCCTCGTTCTTGGCTGCAGAAACAAAACCAAAAGGGGGAAAGAGACCTTTTTCTTCCTCCTTCTGCAGGCTATTTAAAACTTTTAAAACTTAGGAGCGGCTGTTCTTTCAGAGGGAGCTGAGCACAGAGACAGGAAAGAAACCCCAAAGAGGGGAGAAAGAAGAAGTTTCTGCAGCAGGACTTTCTCGGAGGTGCCTTTGTTTTGACTCTCCTTGAGTAGCACTGTTTGAGGGAGGAGAGGAGAGGGAGAAAGAGGCTGGGAATGGGAGGCTTGGGGGAAGCCTCTTCTGCCCCTTTTTCCTGCAGGAGGAGGAGGGGGAGGAGGAGGAGCGGCAGCTGCTGCGCTGCTTGGGGATGGCGAGGGGGGAGGAGGAGGAGGATCGGCAGGTCTGCCGGGAGGGCTGGCCAGCTGAGCTGCCAGACCAGCAGGCTCCCTTTGGCCTCTCATGGCTGCTCGCGTCCCTCTCTCTCGGCATCCTCAAGTGGTGGAACTTATAGCCGGCACACAAGACGACCCCCCCACTTTTAAGATGACTTTCTTGGCTTAGAAAGTCGTCTAATATGCCGATTTTTACGGTAATAATGATGATGGTGATGACATAATACCTGCATGTCTGGCGGTATGCAAGAAAGAGTCATCGAAGAGAAGGCACCTCCCTTGAGCCCAACATTGGGGTTCCCCGCCAACCACCAGTTCACAATTACTGGGAGTCTTCAGACCTGCAAAGGAACACAAAGTCATTGAGACTGACTCCATTAAAGCCAAACTTTTATTTTTTAAATTTATTTATTATTTGAACTTATATGCCGCCACTCCCCTGGGGCTCGGAGCGGCTTACAAGAATGGCTAAAATCTAACACAATTTAAAAGCAATTTAAAACAATTTAAAAACAGCAATATCAAACATTAAAAGCCTGTCGAAACAGGTATGTCTTACATGCCCTGCGGAAAGCTGGTAAGTCCCGCAAGGCACGGACTTCAGGTGGCAGAGTATTCCAGAGTGATGGTGCCACTGCTGTGAAGGCTCTGCGTCTGGTTGCTGTTAGACGCAAGGTCTTGACACTGGGAATTTCCAATAGATCTTGGTCCTCAGAACGGAGGGATCTCTGGGGTTGGTAGGGGGTGAGGCGGTCCCTCAGGTACATCGGCCCCAGACCATGCAAGGCCTTAAAGGTGAGTATCATCACTTTGAAAGTGATCCGGTGCTCAATTGGTAACCAATGCAGCTGTAGTAAGATTGGTGTTATGTGGCATCTCATCGGAATTCCTGCAAGAAGCCGAGCAGCTGCATTTTGTACCAACTTGAGCTTCCGGATCACCGACAGAGGAAGGCCAATGTAGAGGGCGTTACAGTAGTCCAGTCTTGAGATGACCGTGGCCTGGATCACCGTAGCTAGGTCATCCCTGGACAGGTCAGGAGCCAGCCGTCTAGCCTGCCGCAGATGAAAAAAAGCGGTTCTGCTAACAGCGGAGACCTGGGCCTCCATCGTCAGCAGAGGGTCCAAAAGGACTCCCAGACTCTTTACCAATGATGACGGGCGTAGCGCCTTGCCATCCAGGGTAGGCAGCTGGATGTCTCCACTGCCCGGTCAACCCAGCCATAGGATCTCCGTCTTTGCTGGATTCACCCTCAACCTGCTGGCACGCAGCCATCCAGTAACAGCCTTGAGGCACTGATGGAAACAATCGGGTACAGAGTCCGGTCGGCCTTCCATCTTCAGCACCAGCTGAGTGTCATCAGCGTACTGGTAACATTCAAGCCCAAAACCTCGAACCAGCTGAGCAAGGGGTCGCATATAGATGTTAAACAACAGAGGGGAGAGAATGGCCCCCTGAGGAACCCACAAGATAGAGGGGACCTCTCAGAGACCAGGCCTCCCCTCTCCACTCGCTGTCCACGGTTGTGAAGAAAGGAGGACAGCCAATTTAAAGCTGTCCCCCTGACTCCAACAGCAGCAAGGCGGTGGGTCAAAAGATTGTGGTCGACTGTGTCAAATGCTGCTGTGAGATCCAATAACACAAGCAGCGCTGACCCGCCCTGGTCAAGCTGGCATCGGTGGTGATCTGTGATGGAGACCAGCACAGTCTCTGTCCCGTGCCCCGCACGGAAGCCGGACTGGAAGGGATCTAGTCCAGCTGTGTCGTCTAGGAATTGCTGCAACTGCTCCGCTGCTGCCCTCTCCATCACCTTGCCCAGGAACGAGAGATTTGAAACTGGGCGGTAACTGGAGGGAACCAAGGGATCTAAGTCTGGTTTCTTCAGCAGGGGAGAGACCACCGCCTCTTTTAAACCCTCTGGAAAAACTCCTTGCTCAAGGGAGCTGTTTATAATCTTCAACAGAGGGTCACGTAATCCCTCCAAGCAGGATTTCACCAACCAAGAGGGACGGATCGAAGGAGCAAGTGGTCGGTCTAGCTGCAGCTATGAGCCTATCGACAGCCTCTGTGTCTGGCAGGATGAACCGGTCGAGGACAGGCCCAGCAAGTGGCCACGGAGTCTCAAGTTCTCTCACTGTATCAATTGTGGTGGGGAGGTCCCAGTGAAGTAGCGAGATCTTGTCTGCAAAATAGCTCTGAAAAACCTCGGCTGAAGGGGCCTGATCACCGCTTTTGTACATATATATTTACAAATTAGTAAATAAATATATTATATATAAATGTGTAATGTAGATATAGGAGCCCCCAGTGGCTCAGTGAGTTAAAGCACTGAGCTGCTGAGCTTGTTGATCGAAAGGTCGCAGGTTCGATTCCAGGGAGCGGCGTGAGCTTCCGCTGTCAGCCCTAGCTTCTGCCAACCTAGCAGTTTGAAAATGCAAATGTGAGTAGATCAATAGGTACCGCTCCGGCGGGAAGGTAACGGCGCTCCATGCAGTCATGCCGGCCACATGACCTTGGAGGTGTCTATGGACAATGCTGGCTCTTCGGCTTAGAAATGGAGATGAGCACCGCACCCCAGAGTCAGACATGACTGGACTTAATGTCAGGGGACTACCTTTACCTTTGCCTAATGTAGATATATTTATTATAATATAGATAAGTATTATATATAAAAATTAAATCAAATTACAGTAAATATAATACATACATAATACAAATAAATATAATAAAATGTATTATTATTATTATTATTAATAATATCTCACAATACAAGTGGCATATAAATATAGTAAATATAATACATACACATACATAAATAATATAATAATAACAATATGTTAATGTGAATCTTACCCAGGTGGCAGCGTAGGCGTATGTTGGAGGGCCCGTATCGCTCCTCAGTTGTGGTTCCGGGTCGGAGGACGCTGAATCGGGCGTTCCCAAAGACGTTCCCTGTTGCCATGCAGGTCCGCAGCCCCGACAACAACCTGGTTATATCATCATTATATTGAATAAATATGACAAATAAATATATTAAATATAATAAATGTTATTTATACAATAAATATAACAAATATAATAAAATAATATAAAAATAATATTAAAAAATAAGTAAATATAATAAATACAAACACACATACACATATATAGATAAATAAAATACAATTAAATATAAGTGAATATAAAAATGAATAAATTAAATAGGTAAATATCATAATATATAAAATATAAGATATAGATATTACATATGTATAATATTAAATAAATATGAAATAAAATAAATATATAATTAATATAAGTAATAACTACATATTAAATATAATATAATAAATATTACAAATAAATTATATCTATTATAGTATATAACAGGGAAATATAATAAGATATAAGATAGAAATATTACATATATATTTACAAATTAGTAAATAAGTATATTATATATAAATGTGTAATGTAGATATATTTAATATAATATACATAAGTATTATATATAAAAATTAAAATAATGTATAAATATCATAATACAAATATAGTACAACAATAATAAAAATATAATAATAAAATATGAAATAATAAAATAATAATAAAATAATGTATAAATTTAATATAATAATATCAATTATAATATAATAATATAATACCATAATATAATAATGAAATAAAATAAAATAAAATAAATAACAATATAATAACCAAAACAATAATAATAATACAACCTGTACGTCTTTGGGCAATGGCGGCAATTCCGCCCCACAACCAACCCCCGGGAAACCAGGTCGAAAGTTATGTGCTCTCCGGTGGGCGTGGCCTTCACCTTCCACCCTGGGGGTGGGTTATTATAATGAGGATGCGAATATTCATTGTCATTCAAATAGGGGAGTCCCTCGAACTCGGCCAGGATGGTCTGGAAGTTGCGCTCCAGCAGCTCAACATCATGCTTCTGGGCTTCTCGGGGAAAGTACGGGGAAGTGGGAAGGTCCTGGAGGAAGAACACTCCTGGGTTCTGGATTGATGGGGTGTTCCGGAAGGCCGCTGCTGGGTTGTTCCGGATGGCCTTGTGGATGCGGCCCATCCCTGACCATGAGTAGCGCTTGGCATATTCCTGCAGGTTCCGGTACAGCCGGGAGTTCGAGAATGGCCCAGAACCATCTGGAAGGGCATCAGGGCGGGTTGCAACTGGGTTCCGGGCCCGAGCGCGCTGCTGCTGCTCGCGGCCAACCCGGTAGCAGTACCACACAAACAGGGCAGCCAGCGCGGTGGTTGCTGCCACGGCAAATGTGTCGCTGTCCCGGAAGGCGTGGATCCCTGCGGCGACCAGGTCGCGCAAGGACAGAGCCGACAGGAAGCCCATGCCCTGGCGGGTTCCAGGCTGCCCAACTGGCAGCAGATTCTAGGTCATCCAACCGGCAATGTGTTCTGTGTAGTCAAAACAACAAGGTGTCCTAGACAATCCAATCAACAATGTGTTCAAGGCAATCCAATCACGAAAGTGTTCTAGGCAATCGGGTTAAGAATGTTCTAGGCAATCCAACTAACATTCTATTCCAGGTAATTCAACAAAAAATCTGAATTAGGTCATCTAACAAACAATGTGTTTTAGTTGATCCAATCAAAAATGTGTTCCAGTTAATCCAACCTATGATGTGTTCTAGTTCATCTAACCAATGATGTATCCTAGGTAATTCAATAAAATGTGTTGTAGGCAACCAAAAATGTGTTCTAGGCGAATATGTGTTCTAGGTCATCCACTCAATACTGTAGTCAAACCATATGTTCCTTGCAATCTGACCAACCATGTGTTCTAGGTAGTTCAACAAAAATGTGTTCTAGTTGATCCAACCAGCAATGTGTTCTAAGTTTTTCAACAATAATGTGTTCAGGTTAATCTGACCAATTATATGTTGTAGTTGATTTAGCCAATGATGCATTCTAGATTATCCAATCAACACTGGGTGTCATGATGTTCTAGGTCATTTAGCCATCACAGGATGTTTGGGTGCCGCCATCTAGTTCAGCAATACCATAACGTCCTGGTAGGGGGATGCTCTAGGTTGTTCAACAGTCATGAGGCATTGCTGTGTTCTGACTCCCTCAGTCATCTCAAAAGCCTGGGGATAACATCTACTTCAGGAAATACTGTGATGTCATGATATGGTGATGTTTCAGGTCATTCAGCATTCATGGTCTGGGAATAGCATTGCCTCCTAGCCATGGCATTCTGCTATGGTGATGGTCTCGGTCATCCAACAGTAAGGCTGTATAGTGTTGCCTTTTAGTTCAGGAATGCCACAGTGTTATGGTGTGTTGATGGTCTAGGTTGCCCAACAGTCATGGAGAGTCGTAGTGTTCTAGGGCATGCCAAAGTCTATGGATATATCACCCAGTCGAAGGATTGCATGGCATTGTAGGTCATCCAAATGTCGGGGTTTGGTTTCGGTTTTTAACTATTTGTATGTATATTTTTAAATATGATGTGAGCCACCTTGGGTCTGTACTGGAGAAAAGCAGTATAGACGTTTCCGTAATAATAATATCATTGCCTTCTAGTTGAGGAATTCCATAACATCCTGGTCGGGCGATGTTCTAGGTTGTTCAATAGTTGTGGGTCATTGTCGTGTTGTTCTAGGTCATCCAAAAGTCCAGGAATATTGCCACCTTTTAGATGAGGAATGCAACAATGTCCTGATGTTGAGGTTCTAGTTTGTTCAACAGTCACATGGCATTGTTGTTGTGTTCTAGGTCATCCAGAAGTAGGGATAATACCACCTTCTAGTTCAGGAATGCCACAACACCTTGGTGTGTCCATGTTCTAGGTCATTCAACCACCACAGGTTGTTGTTGTGTTCTAGGTCACACAAAAGCCTGGAAATATCGCCTTCTAGTCCGTGAATGCTACAATGTTATGTAGTGTTTGTGTTCTAGGTCATTCAACAGCCACAGGGCAGTGTTGTGTTCTAGTTATGTAAAAGCAGGGATAGTACCTGGTTCTTTCCCCGCACAGTAAGAAACTTTTATAAGTCTAAAAGTTTCTAGCACTATCTATCTGTATATCCGTAATTTTAAGAAAAGTAATAAAGATTATTAAAAAAAAAAGCAGGGATAGTACCGCCTTCTAGTTCAGGCATATCTCAATGTCCCTGTATGTCGATATTCAATGGTTGTGGGGTGTTCCAGGTCACCCAAGTCTAGGGAAAGTACCACCTTTTAGTTCACGAAGAGCACAGCGTCATGGGTTGGCAATGTTCTAGGTCGTTCAACAGTCATTGAGTTCCAATTGTGTTCTAGGACATCTAACCACCTGGGGGTGGCACCACCTCATTCAGGAACGTGACGACTTTACGGATGGGAGGTCAATGGATCCCATAGCATTTTGGGTCATCCCAAGGTCTATGGATATATCACGTCCTAGTCCGGGGATAGCATGATGTCCTTGGTCATTCAAAGCATCACCTTCTAGGTCATCAAAAGATCCAGGCATTGAAAAGTCTATGGATACCGTAACCTTCTAGTCCAGGAATATCATCATGTTCTATGTCATGCGAAAAGTCCTCCAGTTCAGTTGCTCATATAACTAACGTTTTGTAGTTTAGTTCCCAAAAAAAACGGGAATATCATCAGATGGACAACACCTGGAGGAGAAGGAAGGAGAAGAAATTCACTGTATGATACAACAGAATACTTAATAACATTACCAATATCAATATATATTAGTAATTGACTCCTTCAATAGAGGTTGGATGGCTTTAATTATGTATTTAATGACAGAAAGAAGCCAGGCTAGACTTTGTTTTGTTTGTTTGTCTATGCCTCGAAAACAACATTGTCCTACTTTCCATAAACAAAACAACAAAGGGAGATATTCTGGGATTCTCTCTTCTTTTATGGCTTCTTAAATGGGACGATTGCATAATGCACGAAGAGGAGGAGGCTTTTTATAGAAAGAACAGCACACCCTGCCTATATATTATATTATTATAAGCGTATTAAATATTACTTTCTTACTTATTAAAGTAATATTTAATATGCTGTAATTATTATATTTTATTACCACCCTTTTTAGGATTTTCTTAATAACAAGAATAATATAGTTAATAAAATATATTTATTAATTTTATTAACTACATTATTGTTATTCATATATATGATAGAAAGAAAATCCTAAAAAGGGTGGTAATAAAATATAATAATTATAATAAATATTATTTTATAATAACTATTATATTCTGGTAATAAATCTATTATATTATATTTGTTATTGTATTATATTATAATAATAAATATAGTAATTTTTATATTGTATTAAATATATCAAATGTTATATTATGGTACTAAATGTGTTAAGAGTATATTAATTCTTATATTATATTGTATAATAAATGTAATATATTACATTACATTATTATAATAAATTTATTAAATATTATATTACATTACATTATTATAATAAATTTATTAAATATTATATTACATTACATTATTATAATAAATTTATTAAATGTTATATTATGGTACTAAATGTGTTAAATTATATTAATTCTTATATTATATTTTATAATAAATGTAATATATTATACTACATTACATTATTATAATAAATTTATTAAACGTTATATTATGGTACTAAATGTGTTAGAGTATATTAATTCTTATATTATATTTTATAATAAATGTAATATATTATATTACATTATTATAATAAATTTATTAAATGTTATATTATGGTACTAAATGTGTTAGAGTATATTAATTCTTACATTATATTTTATAATAAATGTAATATATTACATTACATTACATTACATTACATTATTATAATAAATTTATTAAATGTTATATTGTGGTACTAAATGTGTTAGAGTATATTAATTCTTATATTATATTTTATAATAAATGTAATATATTATATTACATTATTATAATAAATTTATTAAATGTTATATTATGGTACTAAATGTGTTAGATTATATTAATTATTATATTATATTTTATAAAAAATGTAATATATTATATTACAATACATTCTTATAATAAATTTATTAAATGTTATATTATGGTACTAAATGTGTTAGATTATATTAATTCTTATATTATATTTTATAATAAATGTAATATATTAGATTACATTACATTATTATAATAAATTTATTAAATATTATATTACATTACATTATTATAATAAATTTATTAAATATTATATTATGGTACTAAATGTATTGGATTATATTAATTAATATATTATATTAATTAATATATTAATAAATGTACTATATTATCTTACATTACATTATTATAATAAATTTATTAAATATTATATTATGAAGCGATGCTCCTCCGCCATCAACTCTATTGGACAGGCCACGCTGTCCAAATGTCCGATCACCGTCTCCCAAAGCAGTTTCTCTACTCCGAACTCAAGAACAGAAAGTTGGTGGACAGGAAAAGAGATTTAAAGATGGGCTCAAAGTCAACCTTAAAAACTCTGGCATAGATACTGAGAACTGGGAAGGCCTGGCCCTTGAGCACTCTAACTGGAGGTCAGCTGTGACCAGCAGTGCTGCAGAATTCGAAGAGGCACGAATGGAAAGTAAAAGGAAGAAACGTGCCAAGAAGAAGGCACGTCAAGCCAACCCCGACCGGGACTGCCTTCCATCTGGAAACGGATGCCCTCACTATGGGAGAAGATGCGGATCAAGAATAGGGCTCCGCAGACACACCGCCAAGACACCACACTTGGAGGACCATCATCCTTGGGCTAGAAGGGATCATCTAAGTAAGTAAGTATATTATGGTACTAAAGTATTATATTATATTAATTATATTATTATAATTAATATATTAAATATTATCTTATTATACTTAATATATTAATTATTCTATTAAATATATGAAATGTTATATTATGGTACTAAATTATTGTATTATATTAATTATTATATTATTATACTAAATATATTAAATATATTATAATCCAACATATATTTCTGTTTCTATTATATTGTTATAATGGTCTTCATAGACCTGTCAGCAGCCTATGATACTGTGAACCACCGCCTCCTCCTGAGAAAAATGTATAGTATCACAAAGGACTACCACCTCACCCGCCTCATAGGAAACCTGCTACAAAACAGGAGCTTTTTTGTTGAGTTCCAGGGCCAGAGAAGCAGATGGCGGAAACAGAAGAACGGCCTGCCTCAGGGGAGCGTGCTTTCCATCCATGTTCAACATCTACACAAATGGCCAGCCACTGCCAGAAGGGACAGAGAGTTTCATCTATGCTGATGATCGTGCCATTACTGCTCAAGCAGGGAGCTTTGAGATGGTTGAACAGAAGCTCTCCGAAGCTCTAGGTGCTCTTACTGCCTATTACAGGGAAAACCAGCTGATCCCTAATCAATCTAAAACACAGACATGTGCTTTCCATCTCAAGAACAGACAAGCATCCCGAGCTCTGAGGATCACCTGGGAAGGAATCCCACTGGAGCATTGCAGCGCACCCAAATACCTGGGAGTCACTCTGGACCGTGCTCTGACCTACAAGAAGCACTGCCTGAATATCAAGCAAAAAGTGGGTGCTAGAAACAATATCATATGAAAGCTGACTGGCACAACCTGGGATCACAACCAGATACAGTGAAGACATCTGCCCTTGTGCTATGCTACTCTGCTGCTGAGTACGCATGCCCAGTGTGGAACACATCTCACCACGCTAAAACAGAGGATGTGGCTCTTAATGAGACATGCCGCATTATCACGGGGTGCCTGCGCCCTACACCACTGGAGAAATTACACTACTTAGCCGGTATTGCACCATCTGACATCCGCCGGGAAGTAGCAGCCAATAGTGAAAGGACCAAGGCAGAGACATCTCCAGCTCATCCCCTGTTTGGGTATCAGCCAGCACGTCAACGACTTAAATCTAGAAATAGTTTTCTAAGATCTACAGAGACACTCACTGGAACACCTCAGCAAGCGAGAGTCCAAAAGTGGCAGGCTCAAACCCAGAACCTCAATCAATGGCTGATACCCAATGAGAGACTCCCCCCTGGGCACACAGAAAACTGGGCGACTTGGAAGGCGCTGAACAGACTGCGCTCTGGCACCACAAGATGCAGAGACTCGAGTATAAGCCGAGAGTGGGAAATGCAGCAGCTATTGGTCAATTTCAAAATAAAAATAGATACCAATAAAATAACATTAATTGAGGCAGAAGGTTCAATGTTTTTGAATATTTACATAAAACTGTAACTTAAAATTGAGCCTGTCCAACTGTGATTAAGCCATTATTTTAACCTCCTTCAATGACGATGTGCTTACATACATATCCTTCCATTAATAAGAGAGTAAAATAATAAATGTAGTATAAATCGTAATAATGGAGTAAAATAATGGAAATGTAATAATAACAGTTATAATAGAGTAAAGTAACAAATGTAATAATGAAAATAGAGTGAAATAGTAAATGTAATAATAACAATAATGAATGGAGTAAAATAATAAATGTAATAATAATAATGAATGGAGTAAAATAATAAATGGAATAACAGCAATAATAGAGTAAAATAATGTAAATGTAACAATAAGAGTAAAATAATAAATGTAGTATAAATCATAATAATAGAGCGAAATAGTAAATGTAATAATAACAATAATAAATGGAGTAAAATAACAAATGTAATAATAAAAATAGAGTGAAATAGTAAATGTAATAATAATAATGAATGGAGTAAAATAATAAATGTAATAACAACAATAATAGAGTAAAATAATGGAAATGTAACAATTAGAGTAAAATAATAAATGTAATAGCAATAATAACAGAGTAAAATAATAGATGTAATAATAATAATAATAAATAGAGTAAAATAATGTAAATGTAACAATAAGAGTAAAATAATAAATCTAATAGGAAATAAGAGTAAAATAATAAATGTAATAGCAATAATAATAGAGTAAAATAATAGATGTAATAATAATAAATAGAGTAAAATAATGTAAATGTAATAATAGCAATAATAAGAGTAAAATAATAGATGTAGTAATAATAATAAATAGAGCAAAATAATAAATGTAATAAAAACATTAATAAATAGAGAAAAATAATAAATTAAATAATAACAATAAATAAGAGTAAAATAATAAATGGAAACAAAATAATAGGAGTCAAATAATGTAAATGTAATAATAATAATAAATAGAGACAATAATAAATGTAATAAAAATCATAATAAAATAATAAATAACCTTGACTCGAGTACAAACCAATATATACACGTAATCACACATATAAACACATACAGAAAAATATACACACACAAAACACATATACACAGACTGGGCCACAGTAACGCATGGCAGGGGATGGCCGACCTGGCCTGCATTGTGGGCTATGGGAAGCAAATCGGGTGAAGGTACTGCACATCTCATTGTCCATCGTCCCCCAAACCACACAAGGATGTATAGCAGGGCGTGGGTGGTCTGTGTGCCATATTTGGCCCATACGTTGAGGTTGCAGTGGTGTCTGGAAGTGAGTGAAGGTACTGCATATCCCATCATCTGTGGCAAGTGAGGTCCAGATCCATCGTTGGTTGGTGTCACATTGTGATCTGGATGTAGGTGAGCTACAACTTCT